AGAACAGTGAGAGAAGTCGCTGAGGTCTGACAAAAAAACAGTTATAAAAAATTCTAATATTTCCTTTACAAACCTTCCTGAAGCAACACAACAGGTATTCAGACTCTTGGCAAGTTGAATGAAGTACACTTGTTCAGAAAACGGGTATTCTATCTAAAATCTATCTAGAACAGGCACTGACATCGGCCACCTGGTACCCATGGTTACCTTACCAGGCAGCAATCAATGTCACTTGTAATCAAATGCCAGGCTGCCAAAACTCATCCCATTGGCAATGGCAAAAGCATGCTTTTAGCCCATCTCAGTCCTGACTTTGTCTCTCTCATTTGGACTCAACTAAATTACTTTACTATTATTAGTAAAAGACAAAAAAAAAGTCTTAATTAATCATCATTAAGACAACCTTCATGCACACTACACACTGCACACTACACAAGACAGTATGACGGTCTGGGTCTAGCTTCTCCTAGCTATAAATTCCCGAGGTAATCTGTGAAACTGATTTTATTGTAGCAAACAAAGATGCTTTTCGGCAAACGGAGCCTGGAGCGACTCGGATCTCTCCTTCCTCCCTTCCTTCATTCCCCCTGCCTTTCTTTTAATTTCTCATCTGAGAGACCACAGGGTTGCGGCTGACATTTTGCTGATAGATGGCAGCTCACAGCACAGCCTGGTGCCAAGGTCTCCGGCTGCTCAGATGAATTCAGCTCTCAGTGATCAGAGGAGTCGCGCTGCTCTGTGAGTCTGCACCACCGCATGGATCATCATCCTGCACTGGGGCGGAGGAGAGGAGAGACTGGAAGATGGAGAGGAGAGATAATCAACTTTACCTTTCCAGACAGCCCACAGAGAAAAGAAACTAAACAAAATGTCCCACCTGCATTTAAAATGAAACACACTGTCTCTGTCTTGTAATCATTTGAAATTTAAATTATTTTCCTCTTTACCATTTAGAAGTGCTCCTGAAGACCTGGTGCCAGGTGCTCTGTGGAGCTTTCTTGTGTTTAAATCCAGTCTTTCTCATCAAAATACTTCATGTGTGTGCTTTATGTGCTGGATGCATTTCCTTCCTCACAAAACAAGTGTGTTTTCATACTCTAAATTGTGCAGCGCTTACATCCTGCTAGCTTACGGTCTCCTTCTTCACTGCCTCTGCAGCCACTTTGCAATGCTCCTTGCCACTGCTGGAACTATCTACCTGCTGATCCCTAATGCGCCCCGATCCCAGCCACTTTCAAATCTGAATAGAAAACTGTTCTCCTGCGCCTCTGATTGATTGGCTCCTCTGCTGCACTTGTGTCACCTTTGCTGCATCTGTGGCAACGTAAGACTTATTACCTCACTGTAACGGCACTCTAACTGTATTCCTGGTCTATGAATGTCATTCTAAGGCTTTTCCTTGCCTTTTTAAAGCACTTTAAATTGATCTGAAATGTGGTACATAAATAATTGCCTTGCCTTGAATCAGTTTATGTTTGTCAGACAAACCACTTCAAAAACAGAGCAATGTGTTAGTCAGGGCAGTGAGTGCAGACAACAGGATTCCGGCTGTTACAGACCCAAAACAAAACCTCTCCTAACGAGGCTTGTGGAACTCAATGATTTTTGGGGCATGTAGTGCGCAGCAGAGACAGCCATGAAAAGAGTGGGAAGAATGAGGGGGAATGACGTACAGCGATGGTCCCACAGGATCTTAAATCATTGCAATCAAAGTCACAGAATGGCAGAGTCTGATAATTCTGTCTTGATCGTCACAAATAGGACAAAGTGTTTTGCACGTTTTGTTAAAAACACAAAAGGTTCTGTGATCCACCCAGCTTCAGATCCAACCTTCATTCACGCTCACAGGCAGGGAGATATACCCAAAGGCTTACGGACAAAGTACAAAAAAACTAATTGTTAAGGCTGCACGCACCATTACAGCTTCAACAGGCTACACTGCAGTAAAAGTGAAGCATTTTTTTTCTCAACGTAATTTGTAAGCAAAAAGCTTACTGACAGCTGGTGAGTTCTGGGTGAAAATCTCTTTAAATTCTCCCTTGGGCAACAATTAGTTTACGAAAACTTAATCCATATATTCTTTCGGGAGAGGGATGCAGCTTTAAGCCTCAGGCTAAGTGTCAGAGCCAAAGCACAGACTACTACAGTGCACACACAGTAGCCTTCAAGTCATAGATACAGCCTAAACCTGAGAAACACCCAAATCTAATTATACACAGAAGATTTAAAGAATGTTGGATTATATTGTGTCTAAACCATCTGGCTGTAGCAGTAAATCCCGCACTGGTAACAGCCAGAAACTCTAATGGGATCAATGCAAAATGAGTCTGTGTGTGTGTGTGTGTGTGTGTGTGTGTGTGTGTGTGTGTGTGTGTGTGTGTGTGTGTGTGTGTGGTTGCACAGAATCGACTCGTTCTTCTGCTGGTTGGTTGGCATTCATTTTTATCAAATGCACCCATGTATTTCACTACTGACATCATTTCTCGCGCTAAGAATATTACACATCAATATTTATTGAAAGCAGAGCTTTCATTTGGCTTAATTCTAAATGAAATGTAGCATTGCATTTCCATAGCCTTTTGGCTAACAGCGGCACATTACAGTGATGTTGATTCACATCCATTGTCCCTAAAATAATAATATCATTGTCAGACTCACAATGGATAATCCTTTTTATTCTTTGCATTCTTCTTCCATGTCAAAACCTGACGCCTACATTACCCACGATGCAACTCATCGGCAACGGCTCGGTTGTAGATTCGGGTGTGTTGTGTTATTAGAAGCTAACGAGTTTCGAGCCGCTAGCCTCAAACAGAGATGAGGAGCGGGCTACAGGTTCCGGTAAATACACTTCTGTCTAACTCCAACCCCCCAGACACTGACTCAAGTGACATCACTTGAGACAAGGTATTAGATTTCGCACTGCTCACTCTGTAGCCACAAAAGGCTTTGTGCAATGTTTTTCACATATGCAGCAGTACTCCCGAACACCTGCAAACAGACTTTGATATGTGTGAAATCGCTGGAGTTCCCCTTTAATCTCTCTTACTAAAGCTCTGATTGGTCAGTTGTATGCCAATGAGCACGAAACCAGACCTATTTGAATCGTTGAACAGGCTTTTGACCATCACTTAACAACAATATATTGATCGAAAATATAATTGTCAAGAAAAATTAAAACAATGTAAAAACTTTACAAACATTGTGTGGCTAATTTAATACCTGTCTACGGCCCTGGCCTGTGATATGGTTGAGATACACAATATGCTGATATTATTAAGTCAAATGTAGTAAGGAAAAGTCTTAATTATGATTGTTCTTCATATTAATGTGATCTAAATCAATCATAAAATTCTCACAGTCTGCATCAAGATATTTCTGCACAAAATTAAAAGGCTAATTACTTCCAGGTTCTCTGATGTAGATGTATTACATTTAATATGCGACAACCTGATAATGTCAGAGGTCATGTTTCTCATATTCCCTGAGGCTGAAATGAAAGAAAAAAACAAATACCAGAAACAACAAGTGTGTATTATCAAGTGTCTTTACAGTTACTGTACTTCATGATTTAAGGATGAAAAAATGTCACAGATTGTGGCAGCTGCCATGAGAGAGTGAGTGTGTTCTTTAGACTCTACAGTGGGATTCAGGGTGCAAGACTGAGACACACTTCACCTCCAGCCTCCACTGTTATTATGGCTTCCTGTGTTATTATGTGTATTTCTGTGTCAGTTTTCATTTTTATTTGAATGCAGCAGCAGTAACTTCACCACAACCCTGACAGAGTCAGCCTCACAGTGAGTGGGTCTTTTATATGTATATTTTTATTTATTTATTGTCTAAATTGATCAATAATAGCGCATTAAAAATGGAGAAAAAAATGGGCTTTTGCAGTGAAGGTGAAAACTCTCCACTCTTTCCTAAACAGTAGTAAACCATCAAAAGTGACAAGCATGAGTCTTGCAAATCCTTTGGTCATTTGATCAGAAGGAGGCACCGGAAAGAGCAATGACACCGTCCTATGGAAAGTTTTTCATATTACACCTGTAAGTAACGTTAGTCCACAGATTTAGACGTTTCACTCCTAAAGTCAGTCAAACAGTCACTTCGTACAAGTATTTGAAACATCATGGAGGAAGCACTGCAGGAGTTCCTATTTTTAAAGAAAAAGGAAATTAATAAAAAAATGTGGATTTATTTCAGAAAGGCCTTGTGTATGCTCCTGCACCAGCAGCATAGAGTCCTCCTTTCCCTCCTTTTGTACCTGCTACAAATACTCCACGTGTGCACAGGTAGAGTGCCTTCTTTGTGCATGAGCAACATTCATTAGGGTTCATTATAAGGGGTTTCTAGTGTTGACAGTGATGGATGGTTTCTGCTGCCCCCTGGTGTTCTTCTGGGAAGACCTGACACAAGAGTTTTGGAACCTGGCTGCAGGGATTTGCTCTTATTAGAGCGTTAGTGAGGTCCAGTGATGTAGGGTGATGAAGTCTGGCTGTCAGTCGGTCTCCAAGTCCATCCCAAAGGTGCTGGCTGTGCAGGCCAGTCAAGTTCCTCCACACCAAACTGGAAAACTTTATAGACCTGGCTTTGTGCACAGGGACATGTTCATGTTGAAACACGAAACACAGACATCATTTTGTAGCATTAAAGGTTTTGGGGGGGTCAGACCATGAGCACACAAACATTTTACACCAATTCACACCTTGATGACTGTGTGTGAAAGTCACAGTTTGAAGGCGTCAGTGTGAATCACAGAACTACATTGGATTGTCCTTCAGTGTCTTAAACCCCTGTCCAACAATTACTGTAACTTTCTAAAAACAGAAAAACAGACAGTTGTCAAGGTGAGCAATGGAGTGAAAGCAGGCAGAGACAAATGAGAGCTATCTGGAAGGTAGACAGAAGAAACCAGGAGGCTGTGACATGAAAATGAAGCACTGGATCACATTCAGGTTTTTCTAAAGACAAAGTCAGAACAAGATGAAGTCCAAAACTTTCACTGAAAAGCTTTATTTAAAAATTGAGTTGGCAGGGAGAAATTTGAAATTCGGAGAACATTGCATTAAGCCACAACTTGAGTTACAAAGTGCTCAATCAGTCATCTGTACAGTGAACGTGGATTCAATAAAAGAAAACTCTTCATACAAAGCACCATGAAAAGTACAAACAGAAATAAGAAACTGCTTAAACTGTCAGCTCTGAAAAGTTTATAAAAAAAAGTGGAAAATGATTAAAAGATTCAAATAAATACCTTGCATGTCAGCATGTCATCAAAATATGCAGATGAGTTATCGACTTGCCATTCGCTGTGTCAAGATGTTTTTTTTTTCCTTGCATGGCTCAAATAATCGATTTCACCAGCAAAAACAGTATTGATCCTTGTCTTTTGTCCCTGACACAGGGTCACAGTCACTGGAGCAGGAACCTCTGCAGGCAACAAACTGATGAACAACTGCCGTTCAGTCTCCCACATCCATGTAAAATAGTAGTAGTAGTAGAGTTGTCATTTTGCTATGGCTTGGATTCAATAGTAATCACATTAATAATAATTATCATCGTTACAAGTGGAAGATTCAGCCAATCAGCTAATATAAGAGAGAGTGGAACAGGACAAAACGCTGTGTACCAAAACAGATACTGTACATCAAAATCCAAACACCCTCCATTTGTCTCAAAAACCTTAACATTTTGCAATACAAGCTCAAGAGTCAATCTACTACTTGTACAGTTTTATATATAAAAAATGGACTGGACTGCCCAATTTCCTTTAAAAATATCTTTCTTTAACGTGGCAGAATCAGCAGTGAAGTAGAATGTGAAATGGCAAAGCAGAGTGAATTTAAATAGCTTCTGTGGGAGCTCACTGTGGAGCTAAATGACTCATTCCTGGTCTTTTATCTTTTCTGGTACCATCAGTCTCTCAACACAAAATAGTGATCATGAATATCTGACATGAAGGCTGATTTCTGCCGAAGATAACAGCCAATTATACAAAGAGATTCAAGTCAGTGTAAAGAAGCTGACATTCACTATGTCTGTATCGGTGTTGTTGAATGTAGTGGAGTCTTTTATCTGATGATGTTTGTGTTCTGACCTGACAGATTAAATATATCCCTCTGTGGATACACAACATAGTACGACTCTCAGGTTTATGGTGCTTTTTCAATACCAATAAAGAAAAAAAAAATGAATACAGGTCAAGGTACAAACAAAACTGCTCTACTTGCATCATAAAAATTGGAAGAGACTAAACCTGTGACCTTCGTCTTATGAGACACTGATTATCACTTATTCTTATTGTCAATAAATCCCATTACAGTACTGCCTCTATATCCAAAACCTGATATATCTTTTCCCCTCTTCCATAGAGCTCAATTATTGTGCTGGAAATACTCACTAGAGCACACTATGTGTATTAATCCGCCACTGAAAATAGTCCTTGATAAATCTATTCCCTATTTGTGTAAGATCTATTAAAAACTACAGTACCCAGCTGGCTAGGGAAATTACTGGGCTGTACATGCTTACAGACTCTTATATCTTTTTTAATTTTTCCATTTTTCTATTTTCTATATATAATGTTAGATATTATAATACCTATTTTAACATTTTATTTCTCTGATGTCTTGTTTAGCACCTTGAGCAACTGTAATGAAACAAATCTCACCCCGGGGATCAATAAAGTATTTCTGATTCTGTTTGTAAAAAAGATTTTTTGAAGCTCTACATCTTCAGTGGGAACCAATGGGCCCGGAAGTAAGTGCCTTAAACAGGCTAGGGAAGACAAAGTACTGAGAGAAGAACCAGCTCACTGTTGGTTTTGGTCTTCTGGTGGCGTTTATCGACAATAAGACAAATATAGAGATACGCCAGGCTTATCTTTTAAAGTGTGAATGGAGGGTTTAGTTATAATTAAACTGAGAATGTTATACTTGTCAGACCAAATTGAATTTGTGTAAGAACGTATGGCTGGTTTCCACTGAGTGATTCAGTTTGGCTTTAGTTTTCAATGGCATTCCCAACAAAGCAGCTGTAGCTGCGTTCGCATATGGACACGCTGGGAATATTACATGACGGCATCATATTTGAGAAGTACCTTGTTATTCTATTGAAGTCACACAAACCGTCTACACGAGATGGGGACCTAATGACCGCTGTAACTCTTCATTTACAGGTCACTGCTGGTTCCAATGGGGCCACATTAACACTCAAACTTAATAGAGAAACATTTTAAATGCATTTCTTTTTCCACCTTCCTAAGACAGGACTGTAATAAATCTCTCATTTAATCATTATTTCTTATGCGCCAGGAATTCAAATTGGTTTAATAAACCATGAAATACTGTGAACGAACCAATTTAAAGTTGTAGTACATATGTTCTTCTCATATCAAGTAAGCCTTTTATTCAATGTATTTTTTAATTAGGATATTTAATTTGTTCCCGTAGCAGAGTGGAGCAAAAGAGATTGCAAAAACCTTGGAAAATCACTTCATTATCAGACATCAGTCTCCGTAAGTGTTAAACTGTCTTTTATACCAGCTGCTCACAGGATTTTACTCCAGAAAAATGCTTTACATATACAGAATGTGGGCAAATACAGAAACTAAACAGGAGCTAAAACCTGTCCTGTTTTATCCATCAGTCAGTCGTAGGGTTGCAAAGGGGCAGACATTTTCCGGTAAATTTCTGGAAACTTTCGGGAAACTTTGCATGGAAAGATAAGCTGGGGCATTTTGGAAACATTCCAATTTGTAAACTTTCATGGGAATTAATGGGAAATGACGGGAATTTAGGAGAATTAACTGGAAAAGTTGGGTAATTCATACAAACTCCATCTTATACAAACATAAATATAAACAAATTCTATCTAGCTATCTCGCAACATTTCACCGAGACACACGGCCTTCTGGTCGTAATTTCAGCCGTCCCACTCGGGGCTCCTCACAGTACACCGAGCTGAAGGAGGGGGAACGTACGACTCACAAAACAAAGATGGCAGCGCCCATATTGAGATGTATTTTCTTTGTATTTGTTCTACGTTGGTCGTTTTAATGTCAATTTTAAATGCTCTTACACACTTGTTTACATTGCTGCTCTAGTCCGGTCACCAATTTATGCATTGCACGGTGTTGCTGTGCGTGTAATACAATGTAAGGTTTTGTTTTCTAGCTGGTTTGCTAAATAGGCTAATGTAGCTGACAATAACACTCACCTGCCACTGCCCCTGGTGGCCCCTGGTGGCCCCTGGTGGCTCGAGACAAACGCCACAGCACTTGTTGAAATTGAAATAGGCAGAATGGCAAAATATTATTGAAATGTAAGACTTGCAGTAACGGAATTACTTGAAATGTTAGTGTTTCTGTAGAAAAACATATTATTATTTCACATTGAGCTTGTTTAGATGAGTCACAAACAATAACAACACAGCTGCTGCACTTCTTTCCAACTCGTAATGCCCAAAGACAAATGGAACGCTCTAAGTGGTACAAGCCAGGCAATGACGTCACGTTCTCGCGTCAGAGCAACTCGGGCGGGGGATTTACGAGACAAATGGATAGCACCATAAGTAGTAGCCCAAACCACTGACCTTCAGCTTAACATATGATGGTAGCTAGCATGCTGCCTTTGATTTACTATGGCTGTGGTTATGGTTATATGCGTACAATACAATTAACCCAAATAGGTTAATAGCAATGGGTTATGTATTAACATTACATGTAAGTTCTCTGTTATAGACTAACAGTATTATAACAAGCAATATTAAAAATATTCAGTTTATTCCCATTTATTCCTGTTAATTCCAATGGAAAGTTTCCAATTTTGAAAATTCCCGGAATTTTGCAACCCTAGTCAGTCGGTGGTCGACCACTTTGCTCCTGACTGCCATGAAATGTTTTACCATGATTCCCAGAAGATAATTCCTAATGACTTTGGTGATTTGCTGACTTTTCATCTAGCGCCACCATGAGGTTCACATTTGGATGGATTACCATGAAATTTGTCATGAAAAGCAGAGAAAATGTCAGCCTAAAAAGAGCAGAAACAAAAATGGACAGAATGGCTTAAAAACAGAACTTTTGTAACGTGGCACAGAACATCTTAATGTGACATGAAAGGGCTCAATAAAAATCAGACACGCAGGTTGGATTCAGTAGACAAGTTAGAAACAATTTACACAAAATATTTACACCCAAAGTGTTTTGTCACCCAAACATCCAAAGTAAAAATACAAGCCATAAATCTAATGCTCACCCGTAGCACTTCACAAACAAACACCACTGATACAGCAGCAATAAAAAACTGAACCAAACCACTGATAGCACAATATACATTTCAATAGGCACAGCAGAGCATTGGCAAATGTAGTGCACATTCAATGATGTGGGTCAATATATGGCTCTCTGTAAGAAGAGAAGTTCATTAGCAAAAGGAGATCCTTAAATCTTGAACATGAAATCATTAATTGTGGGGAAATGTGGACCCTTTTTGGACTGAAGAACTGAAAGTGACAGTAGAATAACAGAGACATTCCCAAAGCAGCTCCTACAGTACACCGGATATGTCCTTCAAATTGATTTGTCAATGTTACCGTACGGAAAACAAGCGCTTGCACACTGCTCAACATCACATCTGACGGGGAGTCAGGGATTGCTAAACAGCAATGAATCAAAATCCTTCAAGTATGAAGAAAACTATTCAACTTCATTTCTTAAACAAGTTGTCTGTGGAAAGAGGATGAATGAACGGCTGCACGTATATTGTCCCTGACACAGGAAATGGTAATGTACTGAGTTGGTTTATCTGAAGTCCACAGCAACTGCAAAGTTAAGACTGCATGGCAGCCTTTATTAATGCTCCTTCATATAATGTAAAACAAGTGTGATGAGACTCAAACAGGGGAACTAGAGTGCATGTATTCACACTTACTGACAAGTGCTCCACTATGGCAAAAGGTAAAACAAAATAAAAACCACAAAACAAATACATTCATCAATAAAGCAAAACGTCACTGTGTGCATAGCTGCGACTGAAATCATTCAGGACTTATTCATTCATTAGACCTTTATATGTTTTACTTTCAGAGTTTTAGGCCACATAAAACCCATGACTACTCAGTCACTGCAACACTAAATGAAAACATCAGTAAACAACAACAACCAGATTTCCCTTTAAAAACACACACAAGGTGTGAATGCGCAGTAAGCTTTACCATATCTAACTTGTTATCTTTCAGTATTGAAATAATCACTGCTACAGTAATACCCAGTAATCCATTTTAAGTTTTTAAGTGCAATGCATTCTGGGGCTTCACAGTTCTCTAACTGTCCCATCTTGGTGACAACAATCATTAAAGCCAGTGTTTTAATCTGGTAAACTCTGTTTCTGCCTGAAAATGGGAGTCTGGAAAACACGCAATGAGTATCTAACGAGCTCAGTGGACGGAGTAAAGCCTGTACACAAACAACACAACAGGCTCTGATGCATTATACATCACCAATAAGGGTTTCCATGATTCTATTTCTGTAGCTTCTGGGTTATGGCTAGCTTCCTAACCATTAACTTCCCAACACTTAAAAGTCTTTATTAAATTAAAGACATGCATGTTAGGTATTAGGAATACTCTGCATTTGCTTTTCAGCAAGGCACTGGCCTCAGAACTGAAACAGGTCCCTGGACACTGCACTGGAGCTGCAGATGGGACAATACGGGGGACAGACATCTGAAAAGAGACTAAAAGTTACAACTCAACTTTTTTTATATAATTTTTATACTAAAGCAAGTGCGCTGGATGTTGCCAACGCAAATACTTTTACAAATAATATGTGATTTCTCCACCAGAGAATTCTGTTTAAATATAAATTCAGCTGAACATGCTGCACCTCCAAACATCTGTAAATGAACAGAATGAATCTGTGGACTCCTTCACAGCCTCACAAAGACAAACTTAGGGAAGACATGATTGTTGTTACCATGTACATACAAGAACTACCCCAGTCACCAAAGTAACAACGCCTTCACACTATCTTCTGTCTTGTCTTGTTAGCGCCAGCTAGTCACAACTGATTTAAAAAAAGTTTTCTGCATTAGAGACCAGCTCTAACACAAACCTTTTCCTTAGGAAAAATAAAGAAAAAGGAAAAAAACAAAAAACTAAAAAAAAAAATAATTTTCACACGAAAATGTATCAAAGTACAGGTGGACGGCACAGATCTGCTTTACTGCTCAACACCGCAGTCCAGCGTGGACAGTTGATTAAGAGACGCGCTCGACTGAGCAGCAGTAACAGTCTTTGAATTGAACAGGACTCTGTGGGCCTAATCTTTACAGACGTCTCCTGTATGGTGACATCACTTGGGTGGGGAGGGCCATATGGGCAGAGGATGGGCCTCTGTGTTGAAGATATACTTGTCTAGACTGAGCAGCTCCATGTCGTCAGAGAAGAGCAGATACATGTACTTGAGCGTCTCACCCAGGAAGAAACTCTCCATCTTGTCCCGGGGCCCGGGGTTGACGGGGTCACGAACGTTGTTAATGGACGTGTAGCCGCCATCGGACACCTGCAGGAGTGCAGGTGTTTGGTCAGGTGCTTTATGGGTACAAAACTCTAGACAGTACTGTGGTGATTGCAGTAAAATGTCTGTACCTTGGTGTAGTTATTGAAGCTCTGCAGTATGTCCCACCCCCAGTCTCTGTACTTGGTCTCTTTAGTGAATCTGTACATGTAGAAAAGACTTTCCACTGTTTCTGGTCTCAGGAGGTTGTGCCTGTCTGCAGGCTGGAAGAGAACGGGAAAAAACTTGTCAATATATATCCAAATCAATAAAAAGGGATCTGATATAAGATATTTGTTTGACCCTTATTCAACCCCAGTCCCACAGGAAATGAAAATGTTTTTTTCTTATCAAAAAGAGCAGCATAGGTGAGTTTTGCTTCAGTTAAGATTAAATACAGATTAAAAGGAACTGACTCAGAATTCGAAAATATGACTGCACAACAGACGGTGACACACATATTTCTATGCTTCCTTCACAGCACTTGTGATAGGAAATGTAAAAAAGGTTACCTACATTTTGGTGAGATTAGTTGTGTCGGAAGAATTTAGAACGGATGTTTTGAAAACCTTGTAGAGTGAGGTTTGACTCCGAGGAACTTTTACAGTTTGTGTTTTGAAGTCAGTTAATTCCTGAACTCACTGGGCATTGAAAACCGAACATTGAAGGATATTTAACAAGAGGAGATGATTAACAAGTGTTCTCCATTTCAAACAGCAGTTAGTTTACTCTGAATTGCTCATAAGAAACACTTTAATAAAGCCTTTCTAATGACATTCATTTCCTTCGTTTTTAATCCTAGAATTAGAATGAGCTCCTAAAATGTTTGAGATGTTTCATACGTATATTTGAGGTTAATGAAGACAGCAGTGGAGACGAGAGCAAATATATTGGATGCTTTGATAAACCTAAAGCAGTTAATGAAAAATAAAATGAGTGCTGAGGAGAGTTAGGAAGGTTACGGTCACAACTCCCACGACAAATTCAGACTAGCTGATTAAAATTGTATCCAGCAGGGTCAGTCAAGAATCAGTAGTAGGCTCTGACTCATTTTGGCTACTTTAGCTTATCTCAAATTACAGACTGCACATTCAACAGTAAGTGTCAATACACTGAATCATTCAAGTCAATAAATAAAGACAGTGCTTCCCAATGCAAGTATAAAACACAAACAGACATATGAACACCTATTCACAGAGATCAGACATGGAGATGATCAAATGCCACCTAAATGCTATTAACCTCACCTTGACAACAACGTCACGGCCGTCACTGGCCTGCAGGCTGAAGTGTACGATCTCTGGGCTCAGACCAGTCTCCATCTGTTTGTACATCTGGTGACACGTCTCCGTCAGCTCCACAGCCAGATCCATGTGGTCCCCAGGGAGGCCGTTGTGGGCCCCCAGTGCCAGGGTTCCTGGCAGGAAGCAGACAAGGTGGTCCTGTAGAGTGACGAGAGAGAGAGAGGTGCAATCAGGACGGACAAGACAGAAATGATGAGAGATAATGATGAGAGCTGAGATTGATTGGGCTGACTGATAGAGAGAAAGACTGACTGCACAGGGATTTGTACAGCAACTGATTCAACAAAAACACAAAGGCTGATTGATTTAAAAATGCGGTCGGTGTCTATGGATGTGGGTGCATTGAGTTTTTGCAGTGTGCGAGACACCTTATGACAATCAGGGGTTCTTGTGCCGTGCATGGTACAAAACACAGCAACCAATAGAATATATATACATAAATAAAACACCTCAAAATGTGTTTGAGGTTGTCAGCAGGTTAATCAAGGGGCTTGTGACTCCCTGACATTGCCGGTATTTCACACACTGACTGGTAGTGAGCATCTCTACCATCTTAGGGTTGAAGCGGTTATGGGACAACTCTCCAACAAATGTCAATCTGCTGGCCCCTGTCTGTCTCACAAGGTGTTTTTTCACTCCCTCCACAGCCTGAAGGTAGTCCTCCAACAGACTGGACAAAACACAAACAGAAAATGTTACAGATATAATTATTAGTCAGTATTATATTAGACATATTAGTCAGTCAGAAGTGACTTTGTTTAGGACTGTGCAACATCAGTATCACAACTTTAAAAAGAAGAATATTTGTCACATGTTCACATATATTATGATATGGCAGTACAGGTAGTTCTAATATTACCAACTACTTTAAAAACTGATTTTCTCCTCCAATCTCCTCCTTTTTTAAATCTAATTTATTAACAGAATTATGTAAAATGATAAAATAATATGATCATATCATTACAATATAATTCCTTTAAGAACTGAAATATAATAATATTGAATTATTTCTCAGCTGTGACTTGGTGTAGCTGCAACTCTCCTTACACTGAATATCATGTCAGGTCACATCATCCTCACAATGTGTCTCTTTGTAAATTACCCATATGTCTCTACATTAGTGTTTTGTATTCAGTCTCTAAAGTGATATACAGTATGTTTGCTCTTTTATGGCTTTTTGTTGTATAACAGAACATGAACTGGAGAGAATGTAAAGTTGGAATTACTCGTCTTCTGCTTTGCCTCCCTGGATCCACTGTTTGAGAAGGTATTCATAGTAGCTGTCTGCTCTGGCGCCAAGTGTGAAGACTCCTTTGTGGGTGAACTGGCCACTGTTGGTGTTGATGAACATGGGCACCAGGCCGTCATGTTTTCCTGGCAGCTTGTGGACCAGCCTCATTACTTCATTTGCAACCTCCTGGAAAGGTAAAAAACAGTGTTGGGAGTAACGGTGTTCAAGTATAACGGCGTTATTTTTTCAGTAACGGAGTAATCTAATTAATTACTTTTCCTATCGTCGCAACGTCGTTACCGTTACTGAGAATGTAAAGTGGCGCGTTACTACAATTTGGTTGAATGAAGCGCAGCGGTGTCAGGCTTTCTGACAGCCACACATCAGCTGCCGGGAGAGAGCAGGGGTGGTGATGATGACACCGTTGCATATGCAATGATGATTGGCTGGGTGGGCGGATGCCCTGCTCACGCTGTCTCACTGCACTCTCTAACTACTACTATAAACACAAGACAGAGACAATAGCGACGAGCCAGGGAAATTCAAACGTAGCGTTTTCAAACTGGAAGTACCGACACTACTTTTGCTTACTGAAGTTAAAGGCAAGAATGTTTATGTAACATGCACTGTGCCCAGGAAAAAATACTTTATCCACGTCTGCCTCAAGCAACTCAAATCTTATGAAGCACCTCACAGCAACACATGCTAACACGCCACTTGTTGCTGCTGCTAACCCAACCTCAAGCCCAGATGCAGCTAGCGTGAGCTCCAGCGAAGGAGACGGAGCCACTTCGTTAAAACAAGCAAAGCTTGATTTTTCGGGTCAGTAACAGGTGGTGACTAGGGCCGAGCTGAACACATTGATTGCAAGGTATGTTGTTGAAAAGATCCTACCCCTGTCCACTGTGGAGTCTGAGATTTTCCTTTGTGTCTTTTTACCCAAGTGTGTGTCTTAATTTTGCACTTGAATGCAAAGTGTGAATTTTATTTTCAATATTTATTTTTATTTCTATGCATATGGCCGGCTGCAATCTATTGAGTTCAAATAAATACCAAATGTTCTAAAATACTGTATATAGTGTTTTTATTCTTCATTCAGTTATTATAAACATCTTTGACGTTATAGAAGATATTATAGAATGTAATAGCGTTACAGAACATAAAAAATAATGCCACAGTTACTTTACTGAGTAACTAATTACTTTTACAATGTGGTAACTGAGTTACTAACTCAATTACTTTTTGGGAGAAGTAATTTGTAACTATAACTAATTACTTTTTTAAAGTAAGATGCCCAACACTGGTAAAAAACAAAACAACCATTAATGTCTAGACACGAGATAATGAACCCAACAGCGTCACTTCACTGATAGCTGAAGTGTGGGCTAAGTGTTTGAAAAACACTGTTTTAAACTATCATTATCATTGGAAAACTATTAGCAATTTCACACTTTGATGAAATTGGGTTCATGAAAAGCTATGTCTCACAGGGCTGGCTGAGGTTATGAAAATGATTCAAGTTTGTGTCAGACTGGGCTGAAAATCTTCAGGTGCGAGCTCTGCTTTCTGGAATAATTTGCTCATAAACTGACAACATGATGGATTTAAAGCAAATCCTTGCTCAAGCTTGTCACTTCAGTCACACAAGTGTGTGCGAGCTGCACTTAATGTCTGATTTTAACTGACCCAAAACCATCTGAACCCAAGAAATATTTATATTAACTACCTCCATTTTTTTTCTCTCCATCTCAGGGAACTAGAAGTCATGCCAAAATCAAAATTATTTGACACACGGGCGCCCAGATAGCTCAGTGGTTAGACCTGGCGACCCAAGTACCGAGGCTGAGTCCTTGCTGCAGCGGCCCAGGGTTTGAATCCGACCTGCGGCCCTTTGCTGCGTGTCATCCCCTCTCTCTGCCCCCCTTTCCTGTCTATCTTCAGCTGTCACTATAATAAAGCCAATAAAAGCCCCCCCCAAAAAAATATATATTTAGAAAAAAAAAAAAAGAGAAAAAAAAATATTTAAAAAAAAATAATAATTATTTGACACACACACACACACACACACACACACACTACAGCACAGCCCTCCTGACCTGGTACTGTGGGTCCTGGGTGAGGCGGCTCAGCTCTCTGAATTCTAGCTGAATGCTTGTGACCTCGGCCAGTGTGCTGTCTGATGTCCATCGAGGGGGATGGGCTGTTCCCTTCCCAATGTTGACGTCTGAGAACGGGATCTTTGAGGGAGTTTTGAAGGCAGGCATCAACTTGGACCCGAGATCTTTCTTTAAGGGGAGATAAGTGAACAGAATTATAGGGGGGAGTGACTTCTGTTTAGACTGACGGCTGTTCTGAACACAAGACAACAAGATAGTAAGAATGCTTGTTATGGACTGACTCACAGCTTTATCCAGGAAGAGCTGGTCTCCTGTTAGATGGAATGTACTCAGTAGGCCCCCAAGGACACGGATGGTTGTCTCAAAAAGATTCACGTCCACATTCTTGTTGAAGGAAAGCTCCTTCTCTACCCAGTTCTTTGCTTCTGCAAACTCTGTGTGGAGTGAGGGAAAGTACAAGAGCGGGAGGGGAAAGACAAATTCTATTTTATTCCACGCATTCTACTTCTTTGTCATAACCTGACACCTACATAACCCACATGTTCAATTACTCAACTGCTGACGGTTTGGTTGGAGAATTGGGTGTGTTATGCTAGTAGCAGCTCGCCTCAAGCAGAGATTAGGAGCAGGCTACGGAGGTCTGATAAACTCCCTTCTTTCATTTTCAAATCTTCAGACCGAATCAATGATGTCTCAAGTGACATCACTTGAGTACATTTATTAGATTTCACACAGCTTCCTCATTTATTCCATGCATTCCTCTTCCTTGAAAAAACCTGTGTTGATGTGTTAGCTACTAGCAGCTAATGTAGCATCTTAGCCCCAAGCAGAGATGAGGAGCAGGTTACAGAGATCTGGTGAGCTAGCCTCTTTTTAACTCCACACACACAGATTTTTTAAATTTTTCATGTTTGTGGTCTTTAGCCCTATTGACGAATCAGACAGCTCCTCTCTCTGGAGCCATAAAAGGCTTAATACAACTTTTTCACATGTGCAGTAGTACTCCCCAATGCCTGTAAACAGATTTGGATGTGTACAACCGGTGGAATTCTCTTTTAAGAGACCAAATGCAAAGCTGACTTGTATAGACAACTGTGTACAGCATACAAAATTAAGAGATGCGAGTGCATGCAAACAGATGCAAATTTGCTCCGGCCAGCACAAATTATGGCAAAGACGCATCTGTGCAAGTTATAAATGTTTCAACATTAACTAAAAAATAAATCCTTTTAGTAACTGTACCAAAACTCTATGTCATATTTATTGGTGTATATACTGTGCATTGAAACACAGAATTGAAACACTTCAGATGATACCCAACCCCAAGAGAGAGGGACAAAGTGACAATACCTTCTTTTAGGCCCATAATCCACATGGTGTCCAGAGAATCAATGAGCGTCAAACCCAGTCCAAACCACTCTCCAAAAGACTTGGAGATGGGCTTGAGCTCATCGTGACCCCAGGCATAGTCCTTATACCCTTTCCACGCATGCCTGAAGGCATCACGTACTGCCTCCAGTCGGTCCACAGTAGTTCCAGTTGAAACTACAAACAAAGGCCCACAAAGGAATGAATAAGAAATGAAGTGTAATCTTAAAAGTCTATGTTTCCTCTAGGAAGGTCTCTCAGCAGCGAATGTCTCATTTTCTGATTATTTTCAGTAGAGGGAATATTCTGTGCCATGTGTGGATAGTGCTGCTTTGAGCACAGCAGGGTTTTTATCCTGCAAGTTAGAAATGTTCAAACTTTAAGTTGAAAAAAAAAAAAAAAAGGCACTGGGCTTTAAACAGCATATACCAGTGGAGCTGGACAACGCAACATTAAAGAATCTGTTTGAGGGGAAAAGTTTCTCAGTGGACAGAAAAACTAATAAAAGTTTAAGTTTTCTTCTGTTTCTAAAAGAACAAAAAAATATGGGAGAAAAGGAACTCAATGATACAGGAAAACAATAAAGAGTTGAAACAATTAAGACGGTTTCACGTTAAAGTGAAAATGTTTGGGTTTGGACTGTTTGGACAAAACAAGATGTGAAGTCATGACCTTGGACTGTGAGAACTTGTGATGGCCAATTTTGAGCTACCCTCCATTTTACAGACTAAACGATTTGTGGATTATTCGAAAAAACAAACCAGGCCTTAAAGCTTAAAGCTCTTGTAAGAATTCCAGATAATTTCCAAAATGTTCATACTGACCTTCCAGTGGAACAGTGTTAGCGGGGTTGGCTGGGACTCGGGGCACTGCAGCTTCTTTCTCATCAGCCGAGGGTGGGGGCTCTGTGGCCTGGTCAGCTTCAATCATTGCTCCTCTCCAGCTGCATGAATTATGCCTGAATTATTAATATATGTACTGCAACAAATGCTACAGGGCCTGGGTTCAGCTGGAAAATGTTTGTTTCTGATCCTCTCTGAGCCATATCATGTTAACATGTCATCTACTTTTCTCAACAGTTCCAACAAACAAATCACCTGACAATTTTCTTTTCTTTGTCCTCCTCTTCACCCTCGCCATCTTGAACCACGTCTTGCTCTTGCTTTTCCCCACCGACTGTATCTGAAATGTTTCCATCTTTCTGCAGGCTCGGCGGACCTCTCTTATTTGGGAATGTCTTTTTCTGGGGATAAAACAAGCAGCTAGAGCTAGAAATAGGAGGGACAACATGAACACCTCATCGAAATACCGATAAGTATCTAAATATATAGCGCACAAAGGCTATTGGTATCAAGAGTGATCTTTTACAACCAGCTGGCTGGTAGAACTGGCACGAAGTACCCAAGTTCATTCATTAGTTTAGTGCTACAGCTATACAAAATCATAATACAGACCAATTGCCCTGAAGAAGTGTAACAAGTTCAGCAGTTGTTGTTTTTATTTTTTAAACTTTAGTTGTGTTGATAGACCTGTGCAGGTACTGTAGGACCGTTTCAACATTCTGGTTATTGCAGATGAAACTGAGACAATGGCCAAGTCAAGCATTTTTACTTTTTGACTGATGTTGATGGATCCAACTCTAACCTTAGTGGGTGGTTTAGCCAAAATGGGGATGTTTGGTTCTCTGGGCTCCACCACAGAATCTGGAACAACATCTGGACCCACATCTGGCCTCAAAGCTGGACCTAAAGCTGGCTCAACGTGTGGCCCTGCCACAGGAGCTGGAGCTTTATCTGCAGCTTGACCCAATACAGACTTAACATCTGGAAGAATGGTTTTCACCTCTCTGTCATTCAGCTCAAGCCAGTCCTCCCTGTCAGACAACCCTACACACACACACACACACACACACACACACACACACGCAATGAAAAAAAAATAAATAAGCCAAGAGTAAGTCCACACGATGCCAGATAACTGATATATAGCTATAGCATATATAATATTATATAATATTATTCAAAAGCCATCTGACGAAATACATTACACATCATTATAATAGACTCTTCACAGAGATGGCCACAGGAAGTTCTGAACTTTCGAAGACTGAACAGGCATACAGCATATCATCCTTTTCCAAAAGCTCTGTTTTCCCAAAGTTTTCAGATGTATCTACTCTGGAGAGGGACTTTTCAGAAAGCTCAGTTTTTGGATGTGAAAAAATGTGTGTGGACGGAAAGGCCAAAGTGAGGGAAATAGAGGCATTTTCAGATTTATCCAACGCACCGTGAACATGGTGTGAAAATCAATTACAGTACCTGTAGAAGTATACAACAGTTAAATCGAGCAGGTGTGCACAAACACACAAGGGCACAAAAGCTAATCTAAACAAGACAGAAACAATCAAAATGTCTCATGCAGTGTCTTAGTAATTCACAGCCATTTATCATCACCACCAACTCAACACACAGGCAATCCAACTCATCAGCTTCAACTAGTCATGCAGCAACAGAATTAGAATTAATGTTTCTGCCTGTGTGTGTGTGTGTGTGTGAGCTTAGTGTTTTTCAAGCATTATTTACCTCTCCACTGCTCTGTGATGCTGGGATAGGAGAGCAGTCCAAATATGAGCAGCAGAGCCAGCAGGAACAGGATGAGGCTTCGCTGGAGCCGAGACAGCTGCTTCCATTTCTGTCGGCACACAAACAAAAAATAGAGCTTACTACACTGAAACATGTCTAACAGTTCTGAATTCAAATCACGTCTGTCAGCAGAGTCTAACATCACCCCCCTTCTTAAAATATCATACAGATCCGTTTATGCCTCCTTTAAAAATAGCAGAAGGAAAAGCCTGATGGCCTTTCTGTCTGGCTTACCCTGAATAAACTCAACATCTCTCTCCACCTGATACCTTAAGCCCAGTGACCGCTCACAAATAAACACTCTAACCAGCTCAACCTAGCAGTGCAGAGGGAGGGACAGATTCAGGGTATCTCAGGAGAGAAGGCTAACAGGCGGAGTGGTAGCACGCTGTTACCTGCTCTAATTAACACCTGTGCAACGCCATGAAACTATTGAGCCATAGTCTATGAGCTGTGACGGAACACACAGCAGACTTTATCTCAGGGGACATTTTCATTTGACTGTGCTATACTAACTCAACACAACAGCATCAACATCGACAATGGTGCATCTTTACCAATTCCGTTTAGATTTTTGTCCTAATACTGATCTTGGAATTACCAAAAGACCCCTGAAACATTATTATAAAATAACTTGATGTGTGTGTTATGCTCAGAGTTGCAGTAAGATAATGTAAGACGATTTATGGCTATTTGTGGGTTTGTACCTAAAACAAAAACGTCTATCAATTTTTATCTAGTAGGCTTTCACAATGGTCGTCACTCTTCTTTATGGCAGAGAAATGGAATTGATAGCGAGACAGGCTGATCAGCACTGGCACAAATATCAATGGACTACATTTCTTCTGCATCTAAACTAAAACTAAATCTTCACTTCGGCAAACTCCCCCGAAAGTATTAGGCTAGTTTATTAGTTGCATGACGGAAATTGTATTGATGATCATTTGTTGCAGCCCCAGTTTTTAGTATGAACTAAAACATTTTAATGAAATAGTTTTTTGAGAATGGAGTGATTCAATATCAACCTCTGGGACAAATAAGATAAAATACTTTTTAAAGAAGCTCTTCAACTGTATCTCACAACCTTCTTCAGCGAATGGAACTGGCTCAGGTGTTGTCTCATAAGCTATGTGTGTAGCTTCAATGGTGTGATGACAGGTGGTCATAGGTCATGTGACGACACCCAGGCAAGTCCCATTCTCAGAAGAAGGCAGCGAGAAAAGTTGAAAGCCCTGGGAGAATAGATCCTGACATTAGAATATTAGATATATTAGAAACACACCTGTGTTTCAGTCTTCCTGCTCAATGCAAACTGAATGTCAACAGCAAAGTAGTTAGTATGTAGTAGGACTGCACAGTTAATTGCAATATTATCGAAACTGCAATATGGCCAAGTGCAATATCCAAATCACAGAAACTGAATTTTTTTGATAGAGGGAGCATTACAATGAAGTAGAGATGCCCTGGTCTATAAATTGTTTGTTTGTTTGGTACAGACCCCAACAAATGTCACATCTTCATGAGTTTTTTAGTAACAATTGTGACGCAAACATTACCATTCTCACAAACCGTGAATCATCAGTCATAATATATCTATCCAAATGATCGCAGTATGACTTTTATTTACCATATTGTGCAGCCCTGGTATGCAGATTGTATATTTACATATTTAAAGTTGAAAGTGCACAATGAAGAAAAAAAAAACAAGGATCCATTTTCTCTGGAGGTTGGAGGCAGGGAATCTTACTTGGCAGGTTGGCTATTGTAACACAGACAATCCCTCACATACTGTATATACCAAAGAGAGATTCAGAAATTCCGCCTGACCTCCATGTATTTGGAAAGAAAACCAATGTGAATAGGGGTAAAACATAGTCCTTTTGCTGTGTAGGGAGCAAACACTGAGCCAACAAGTCGCTCAAAGGAACATGATTTGCAGAGAATAGTTTTCTCAGGAACTATAAACCGTAATCAAATTTGACGACCCACGGGTACTGTACAGGGGGTGCTGAGCCAGATCGATGTCTCTGCTATAAAGCTGGCTTTATAGATGTTGATATACTGCAGAAATAAACTGTTACAGATCAGTCGATGACAGCGCTGGTTTGCCTTTTCAATTTGAATGAATTATCCTTATGAGAGCGGACCATGCCGTTTTGCTTTTTTTGGAGACAGATTTAATCATGCTGAAATAATGATTAGAGAATTATTTTTGTCTATTATCTAGAATATACACTGAGTAGATTTTCTGAAAGGCAAATTTTTAATACTAATCTGTGTTTTATATCAGATTTAGGATTAAAAATAGATGCAAAATGTATTCCATTTCCAACATTATTTAGGAAAAATTAAGTGGGTAATGATTTGACAATTAAGTGTTGAAGGGTGGTCCAAATCTGTTTAAAATGAAGCACACTTGTTAGTGTTAGGCCACACATTAAAACACACATACCAGCAGAGTACGATGCACATCAAAACCTCAATCATTGTCTTCTGCAATCTACAATTGCAGGTTGTGCATCAGGATGTTCTATGTTTCTGCACTGATGCATTTCTACTCTCCAAAAAAGCAGCAGTCTGCTCCCCAGAACAGCACATCCTGGCTACTGTTCCCTGACTACTACTTCTGTTTGTATGGCTCATTTGGTGCGTGTGCTACGGGTTTAAGGCTGCTGTATGCTGCACTTATGACTGAACCTGCTTGCTGAAAAAATTAACTCCTAATTAGAGTTGCAATGATTAGTTGATTAATCAAAAATCATAGTCAAAATTCTTTAATTTCAGCTCCTCAAGTGTGAATATTTTCTGGTTTCTTTAGTCCTCTATGACAGTAAACTGAATATCTTTGGGTTGTAGACAAAACAAGACATTTCAGGATGTCACCTTGGGCTTTGGGAAACACTGAACAACATTTTTCACAATTTTATGGCATTTTATAGACCAAACATCTAATCGATGAATTAGGAGAGTAATCATCAGTTGCAGCCCTATTCTAATCCCTGCACTCGAAGCATCTAAAGCTAGTGAACTGACGTTAAGTTACACAGACGTAATCAGTTAACAACCAAGGGAGTCTTCTGAGCAAGGCTGTAAGACCAGTCGTAGAAGGATGAAAGAGGAAACCTGTGACTAAAGCAGCATACCCTGTAAAGCAGGAACCCAGGAATAGTAAACAAATGTATGAGACGTGAACTGAGCAACACAATATACCTATAAAACCTGAGTTGCAAAACCAACAAAGGAGATGAACGGGGCTCATAGTGAGAGGGCATAAGCAGGAGCGAGAAATACAAAAGTAAAGAAAACAAGATTAAAGAAAATGTGCAGTGAGGCAAAGGGAGGCAGTGAGATGAACAGAATTTGTTTTATCTCACTGCAGTGATCAGACACATAATGCGCTCAGTGGATGCTTTTATGTGAGGAGTTTGAAGTTGAAAGTTTGAAAGAAATCTCTCCAGGGAAGGACACCCTATCTTTCCTTTCTTTTTTTAATCGGGATTTTTGCAGGGATATACAACACTTATATCAATGAGAAATACAAGTACCTTGTATAATGTGCCATAGAGGAATAAACACATGTATTTTTATGTTAGCATTGGGCCCTGATCCCGCCAGACCCGGAACCGTACAATACACGTACAGTAAGAAAACATCGACTTACCACTTAAAAAACACTATTTCTTCTACTTCTATTTACCCCTTTCTACATACAGCAAGATCTGTCAGGTGAGGTACGGAGACAACATGCAGAGTACAATAAAATAATTGAACATCTGATAAAGCAAAAGCTAAGGGTTGGATTACTACATACATCCCGACTCGTTGTTACCATCAGCGGAGAAAAGATAACACTGGATGTCGAATGATTTCATAAAGTGAGTTCCTGACAAAGGTTTCTGTAAGCTCTCCGTTCCTTAAGACCTTAACAAATAAGTCCCAATTCTATCTAATGAATTATATGTGTTAAAGGTTGACGCTATAAGGATTTAATAGGAAGCTTGAATGTAAGATACTTTTATCAGAAGTCTCTCAGGCCCATTAGTGTTTGGATGGTCTGTTTCTGGTTTTATTTTTGATGTAGTGATTCACCTTCCTATGCAATTACCTTGTTGATCTTTCTCTTTTGGTGATAATCACCACCAATTAATTTTTAGAGTGGGTCAGTGGGAATTAGTCAAGCTACGTCTCCGCTTGATGAACACGGATCGGAGATGAAGTGGGTTTTCATCTCATTAGTTGTACATGTAAAAATGAATCATTTGTGGGTTGTTAATTCTGTTTTGTTTTTGTCTTTTCGTTGTTTGTTATATTTTCCCCTCCAACCAAAAGAGAAAAAAATGTTCACTGGGGTTTTGTTAAGCGACTCTAATGTGTGCAAATATAATCAAAGTAATCACTTTAATATAAATGTTATCCAGAATCCTGTAAAAAGATTCAAAGTTTTATCTCCTTTCAAATCTATTTTGTGACATATCTATGTTACAAGAAACACAAGGAAGAATCTTTAAAATTAAAACAAGACAAACAAGAAACAATTTAGGTCTTTAGCATCAGATAGACATACTGTCTCAGGTTTGTACAGGATGTTAGTCCAATCCTCCTCCTTGAATCCCAACATTCAGACTCAGTCCCAATGGGAACACGATTTAGGGGTTTCACTCAACTCTGCAGAATGTGGGATGGAAAAATGCGGAGGGACCCTGCAGTAATCTCTCTCCTTGTCCTGATGTTGGCTTGCTAGAATACAGGGCTGCACAGTTAAGGTAAAAATAAAGACAGGAAAATAGTAGGCCTAGCCTTTTTGGGTGCCAAAACATTATTTTGCTCAATTAGAAAATCAGTAAGCCAAAATGTTTTCCAGTAGAAACATGGTTATTTAATGGTTAATTTCTCAGCCTTCTTGGTATGGAATGAATAGCTTTGAGGATCAGCAATACTGAATCCAATTTTGAAATAATTGGGATCAGATTTTGAAATGTGCCTCAGCCTATAACTGCAATTAATACAGAATACTGTGCAGCCCTGTGGAAACGTGTTTGGAAATCTTGGGTTTTCTAATTCAGATCGAGATTGTGCACACTATGATAATGAAATGGACAATCAATTGTGAGGGTCTGTACTGTGTTTTACTGTTGTCTAAGTTGTTATTGCGGTATTTGTTGCTTTGGTGTGTGGCTTGTTCTTTGTATGCTTTGTATGTCTTGTACTGATGCTAAAAGCGTTGAAAAAAAGGACTGCTTAATGGCAATGTGTGATTTAAACAACTGCCACATTAATAGAAAGTACCTTGATTTCTTGGGTATTTAACTTATTTATTCTATAAAAAGCTTCTAAACTGAATTTTAGAAAAATGTACTGCATCACAATATAAAGGAAGGTGACAAATGAAATGAAAAACCAACATCAAGTTCTCGTAAGCCTCGAGAACAGCTTCTCTGCTCTTTTTCTATGAATTAATTATTAACTAATCAATTAATTAATTCAGCACCTCTAAACTCTGCTGCAGGGATGAACACCATTCATTTATAAGGTATTCACTCATTTAGTGTTTGTGCAGAAAGCTGTCGAACATTTCACTCCAAAATCTCCCGTACAGGTGCTCAGTTGGGTTAAGGTCTGATGACTGACAGCCATAGTATATGATGCAATCAAATCATTCAGTGAACCTGTATGGAGACATCTGCTTGTGTTATGGTTTTCCACACATTTACTCAGGTTTTTCCTTTGATTTGTCACCTCTCTGCAGATTACTGTGGACACCTACCGAGGCAGATCACAGCCTTGTGTGAATGATGACAACCTGTGACAGCCGTCTGGTGTGAATTTGTCAAACACAAGTTGAACACAAACTCATTATCTTCCATCAAACCAAGGGTTTAACCCCCCCCAAAAAAAAAAAAACAGTGCATACTGATACAGGACCACTCACCCTCCAGCAGGACTGTCTCCGGTGTTTGCCGTTGTTGTAAGTGTGACTGTGCGGATCACTGAGTGTCAGAGAGACGAAGTCCTTTCTGGAAGGTGGATACATCCTCTGATCGGGGCAGATACTCGTAGCTCATAGAAGCTGCAATCAGTAAAGTAAAGTAAAAAAAAAAAATGGTGGCTATCTTTATGATCAATGAATCATATATGATATTCATGTAGTACAAATAAATATACCACTCACTGAAAGGTTGAATGTGGGAATTTGCTACTACTGTCTACCACATTAGGGTTATTTCACCAGCGTTTAACTGTCATAAATTTACAGGTGTATGTTTTTAAAAAGGAGTTTACCGATTTTATTAAACCTGTCACAAGGAGTAAATGGATGAAGATGGACAAAATTGTTGATTTGCACCAAACCAGCCAACACATAGGTTGTATGCTTCAACTGATCTGCATATGCCCAGAAATGATATACAGCACACTTGTGTGTGTGAGTTATTACACATACACATGTCATATAAAATATAGCACGGCTGAAGCTGAAGGCTTCTATAATGTGCGTATGCATACATGTAACTACTTCTGTCATTTACTTAATTTATTGTTTACAAATGATGCATTTTTAGCATTTATATAGTATGGCTTGCTGGTGGGATACCTCAAATCGTATTCATCTTCATCCTCTTCAGTACCATGGACAGCTGACGGACGTGTTACGTGTACATACACTTGCTCTTGGGAGATGTTTTGGAGAAACGGGTGTGTTTGCTAAAGCTTTATCACAGATTTCTAGTAAAAAGAGCTTCAAAGCAAAGCTAAATGGAATATAATTCTGACTACACACTAGCATAGGCTGTTCTGTTAGTCTTGCAGATTACTCGATAAAAGTATTTTTAGTATAGAAACCAGAATTATTTTAAGAATACGGTCCAAAATGCTGCCGAGTTAAATTACTGTACACAAAAAAAGCTACATTAGTCAATTAGCTAACGTTACAGCAGCGGGCTATGTAAGCTAATGTATTACATCAGGTACACCCCTGCCTTCCCCAAAACACTGACATGCACACACCAGAAAATCACCAAAGAAATGTGTCATATGTGGAGCTACCTCCCCCTCACCTCAGTGGCTGGTTGGCTGCCTCACAGCGACGTTTTCTTCTGGAAGCTAAACAGCTGTTAGCTAGCTAGCTACGAGAGGCTAGCGTGCTTCTTCTCTCGTTTCTGAATGGGGAACAACACACGCTGCTGGCTGTCAGGAGAACCGGCACGTAACACAGTCGTCCGTCCGACTGTCACACAAGACGACCAGCTGCTACATGAAATGTCAAGCAAATTAAACGGGGGGGAACATGGCTGAAGTTAGCGAGTGAACAACCAGACAGATGCGGAAAAGTAAGAGCTGACGACACAGGGTGCTGCGCGTCATGTGACGTGTGCGCGCGTGCTGACGGTTGAGCGTTAACCGTTAACTACCCGTCAACACGTTGCCAGCGGAGACCTTAAAGTGACTTTATCCTTTTTAATTTCACTCCAGTTGTTTTGTGAATATTCATTTAATATTGTAAACTGCTATATATATCAAATGATATGTAGTAGGGCCCCCTCATGTCAGAGCGGCTGTCAGTTAGGATGAACTATCGATCAGAAAAAGAGAAAAAACACCCTGAGATTGAAATGTGGGAACAGGAGTCAGGTAGACTTGTGTTCTCTTTAAGTCTGATGTCAGTAAGTTGATGTGCAATAGTAGTATTTTATATGTGAAAGTGTATAAAAGGAAATGTTGGGGAGTCAGTTTAAAGGACCTGATGTAGATATTCTGAGACTTAAAGCTGCAGTCAGAGCCTACAGGCTTATATTTACATTGAACAGATAAAGCTAATTATATAATATTGTGAGGACTGGACTAATTGTCAGGCAGCAATACCAAATCTCAGTTTGTAGTTTTTATTATTTTCAGCAGTTATATTGTCTACAGTGTTATTGTTAATATTCACTTAATATTCAATTAAATAAATATTGTTTGTTTATATCGGTACTAATTCTTAAACTGAAGGATGAAGCAAACAGTTTTAAAGGAGGAAGAATTGTAGTGGGAGCACTGTGTGTCTGTGGAGCAATTAGTTTACATGGCTCATTGGTCAGGTAGGAGGGCCCCCTAGCAGAACTTTGCTTAGGGCCCCAGGAAGGTCTGGACGGGCTTGCTGTAGACACATTTAACATTTTTGCATGTTCAGTTGACTAAAACACTCCAGATAACACAGTGCAATTAACTGGAATGAATTAATTGAAAGTGTATCACATCAAATTCCATAATATTTTCAAAATACCTTTTACAGTTATATATAGCCTATATATCCGGTAATTTCTTGGAAAGTATAGGAAAAAAACAAACAAAAACACTATATCACAAAGATACAGGGGTATTTTAAATCCACAATCCACATTTTATTATTTAAGATGATTTAAAGAAGTAATGAAGAATTGTAAATTACATTACATTTGTTTGAATGACATTTAAAAAGAATTGGCTACGGCAGCTTTAACTACATTTCTACTGCCAGAGTCCGACCACTGCAATTCCTGCTGCTGTTACTGTTAACACTGCTCCTATTGTGACGACACTGCTGCCACAGCTCCTAGCACTGCTACGACTAACTGTACTGCTGTTACTGTTGCTACTACCTCTAATACTGCCGGTCCAAAACAGATGACTGAGCAATACAGAAGCCCCTCATTCTAATGACTCAAGGAAAGTCCTTGAATCAAGACAGTAAATGCCCCATTGTGCTGTGGATGCTGCTCTGAACTGCCCACACTTACAACTATGCATGGCATGGGTGATAGGGCAGTTATAGTCTGGGTCTGGGTGGGAGAAAGCACAGCGGTAATGGAGAGAGAGGGGCAGTGCTGGGACACAAAACAGAAGAGAGTTGGGGGAGAAATGACCGTGGATGGGGCTGTTGGGAGGAAAAGAGTCAAAGATAAGTCCTGCAGCTGGAGGCTCAGGCACATCTGCTTCTGGGCGGGCAGCTTCTGAGGCACAGCTGAGGGGGTACCACAAACCTACTACCTAGGTACTAAACATGATGAATGCCAGCTGGTCTAGGGACAACAGCAGGGTGAATGGATTTTAGCAAATGGAAGAGACCCAGCAGTCAACTGGTGATCTCCAATCTTCCTCCAGTGCCACCATGAAATTGACATTTGTGGCTTTGAGTTAAATGTCTCGACAGTTGGATACATTGCCATGTCACAGACATTCATGTTTCTCTCAGGATGAAGAAGAACACCTGTGACTCTTCATCTAGCTCCATCGTTCAGTCAAACTTTAATTTGTCCAATACTTAATATAATATTAATATAATTGCACTAAAGCAGAGATGATGAAGCACTCTGAGTCAACATTTGGTTATGTATTTTTTTTTATTCAGCTGACACAATTCTTTGAATGAGCTGATGACGGGATCTCACAAGACAAATGTCCAGCATGTCATTTCATATTTTTTTAAAAATGATAATTTGTACAAAACAAATTAAGTAACAATGATCAGTCTCAGCCAGCTAAGGCAATCATATGGAATGATGATATGACAAATCTAAATACAAAAATTAAACATTGAATATAAAACACCAGGCCAGAATTGCAAACCCGTGGCTAAAATGCTTAAACTTTAATCCAGTTGGTCTGGTTGAGATTAGGATTAAGGACATTTCTTCCCTGTTATATAGCCCCGGCAGCCTCTTGAACAACAGCTGAGAATTTGGTGCGAAGTAAGAAAATGAAGTTTTGGTGTTTTTCCTGCTGCATAGCCGGCAGACTCCGCTCTCACCACAAACTCCCTGAGATCTCACTCAAATGAATCCTCTCCTCCCTGCAGACTGTACGCCACACTGCTCATCACTCACTGCTGACCGCCTCTGGGACACAAACACCAAATCCTGATTCTGCTGAGAAGCTCCCAGGCTTGCTTTCTTTTCTCTGGACCCAAGCACTTCTCAGATTGAACGAAGCAGAAATTCAGGTCGACAGCAATTACTCAATGCTAAGCGGGAGGGAATAGGCACATTTTTTTCACCACGGGGTCAGAGTAGCTCAGGGTACTAGTCCGGCAACTTTTTCTACAGCCAAACTTAAGCATGATCTTTACAGTACAGTGAAATAAATTGCAGTATTTCCTGGGAGGGAACTGGTGGATCTGTAAGCTCTCTGGCTGCCTAAATCCAGTCTTTGGTTTATATGAGAATAACACAAAAGAGAGAATCTCAAAACACTTGAATTGAACTTTTCTATTGTTAAAACAGTAAATAATCTAGTGTGAGCCAATTGGACAGGTACCTAGCAGAATGAAAAGTCATGAAAACGTGATAAACTGTGGTACACTGTCAGCACTAAACTTTAAGCAGCTTTGTTTCTGTCATGGATCTTCAGGAACGTAGGGGGAAATAGTAGCTTGATAATTAGACTGAACTGCCATTTTGTCTCACTTCATTTTTCAGTCTAGCATCGTGTTCATGTTAACCGATTTTTGTTTGGAAGGCAGTACCTTGCCCCTATTTCGTCCTGCAGTCGTTTTTCAATAATATATGATGATTAATCTTTTTATGTATGTATTTTGAATTAAATCAAGTGTTCCTGTGATTTGACCCCTTTTGTGAAAGGTTCATGTAGCTGGTGACTTTATAAGATGCTGTTCATGTATTGTTGTTGCAGTAGGTAAAAATAATGTTGTCATATTTGCTGAAACGGTCACTATACCCTGACAGTTAGTACAGATACTGTGGAAAAATATCCGGTTCCACTGGCTCTTTCTATAACTCCATTCCCAGGTCATCAAATACCAATGCATTGCGTCTCAAAGCCTCAAGCCACCACCCAAAGTGCCGGTATTTGATGACCTGGGAATGAGGCACAATAGTCAACATCTTTCTTGGCTCTGATTGGTTGTTTTCATTCAGGCCCGAGGGATTCTTGCAAATGGCACTAGGAGGAACCAGAGGAACCTGAACTTTCTCACATATTATCTGACTCCTAAACTACTGTTAGTAAAGTTTCAGCAAATCTGACAAAAAGTTTATTTTTTTTAATAAAAGTTAGCCACTGCAGTTTAATGTAGATCTACAGAGAAATGTTTTCCTCTCCGTTTTTTGATAACAGTGTGCAACAGTTTACTAGTTTAAAGGACAAGTCTGATGTCACTGTATTATTTTCTTATTGTCAATAAATCTCTTAAAAGAGAAAACCAACCATACGTCTGTCTCTCAATAGTTTCATATTTGTGTCTGTGGAAGCTGTGTGTAAAACCACTGTGCAAACCTTTAACAACAGCTCGTAATATATAGTCAGTAATATAGTAATATGTCAGTAACCAGCTGTCAGTGATTTCCTAACAGCTGGTTACTGTAGTTTTTAGCAAATGTTAATCTAACAGGACTAAATAGTGAATTTGTTGGGGACTGTTTGGGGAAGCAGGACAGTGTATAGGATTGAGTCAAAATAAACTAGTCTGTTGGTTCAAGGTAATGAAGGAACATGTGCACAAATTGAGCTCTACGGCACCGGGGATGAAGATATATTTGGCTACAAACGATACTTGTTGGTAGGACACATTTTTGGTTTTGGTCTTTTTATGGATTTAACCTGTAACATTTCTAATCTAACATCTTTAAGTCTTGTTTTATTGCTAAAGTCTAAAACTGACCAACATACTGTGGCAACAGCAGCTTCAGTGCCCATGTGAATATCAGTAATGTATGATACCTGAGAAAAAAACTATAACATTTTTTTAAACTGTAAAAAAAATAAACAATGTTTTGTATATTTAACAAAATGAGGAGATTTGGTCTTGCAGTTGACAACAGACAGAAACAAGTATGTATAAGACAATATGACTATCCCCTCTATTGTTTGTGGGATTAAATAAATGACGGCCTTTCAAATGAAACTTGATCAGCACCTTAAGAAAAAGTGACACATCTGAGATCACTTACAGTATTAAAGTAGTGGACTGACAGTGAGAGAGTTTACTGACCTGGTCACGTACGGCCAATGGGACAACAGTAGCTGTGTCCCTAATGCAGAACACATTGTTAAGGGGTCAGTAAGGACAGTCTGACTGTTATCTACACAATGGGCAGGCTATGATGGCAGCCCAAAATATAGAACAAAAATAAAAAAACATTGTATATAAAGGATAAAAAGACATACATTTTTAAATTATTCAATACAAGATAAACGTCTCTGTAAACAAAATTGACTTCTCCGTGAAAAAAGCCGGGGGACGCTTGTGTCCCCTCAAATTCATGAATACGGAGTCACTTTAACTTGAGAGATCAAATCCCCCAAAAAAGGAGGTGACATCTTCAGAAATTGGAATAGATGTTCCAGTTATTCCACTATTGGGGTCCATGATTTGAACAGAGGTTTTTTTGTCCTGGACCTGTGAGTCTTCCGGGACAGCACAGCTTTCTAGCATCTTCTAGCTGAAACACACCGGTCCGACAGTGAAGCCAAACTGGTGTGTGAAGTTTTCCCCTCCCATTACTGCTACGTCTCTGAGGGGAAGCAGCTGGAGGTCCTCGAACTCAAACACAGACTCCCTTGTTCCAGAAACGGTCTCCTCTCCAGGCTGACACAGGGGACAGAAAACATAAATACAATTGTTATAAGTCATAACTTTTTTATGTGATGGTAATACTTTAGCATATTTTATTTTCTAATTGGTTTCAACTAGCTGCAGCTAACAGTTTTTTTGTATTTTGTTTCAAGGGATGCAAGTTATTTTTCCTAAATTACATCCAGGATTGAGAGTACCAAATACCATAAATATGATGTTTTGGCCCTCAAACTACAGCTTTCCAGGTCCTTCTACACTTTAAAGAGCAACAAAAGAAAACACTACTCTTGCTAAAGATGATAAGATAATAATAATATAATTAATAAAATAAAATAGTTGTTATAAAAAGAACCCCTATCACCATGGATAAAACCAAACAAATATCTAAAAGCTTTTGCTTTTTGCAACTACTGTATATTTTTTTAAGGTTAAGAATCTTTCAAATAAAAATTAGTTAAAGTTAAATGTTGCTGACTTTTCTCAGGCCAGCTAAGATTTTTCCTCAACAAGATTTTGAATAACAATAGCAGCAGCATGACCCACATTTCCTCGAGCCTCTCAAGAGCACGGTAAGAAAGGAAGTTTGGAAAACTTTGTACACACCACACAGTCTTTAAGTGCTCCGAGGTAACTTTGCTTCCTTGTGTCAGTGAGGAATTTGACGTCTCTGTCTGTCTGACCCAGTCTGTGTCCTGGATGGCAGGAGTAGGTCATCTTCTGGATGGCAGTGCTACTGTGCAACCTCAGAAAACGCATCTGGACCACATTAGCACCTGGATAGTAAAACTGATAAGAAAGCAATAAGAATGTAATGCATTACAAATGTAAGCCGATACAGTTGTTTATCCTCTTTCAGCTTATTATTCTGGTTTTACAGCGCGTTTACAATTATCTCAATATGTTAGCGTCTGTGTTTTTCAGATTGTTGTGGATTTCTACAGCTTCCAAGTAATAACACCAATGAATGTAGTCTTAATGGACGTACCAATTTTTGATTTGAGATAACATTGTTTTGTTTTGGTTGTTCCCTTCAAAGGGAGTCACTCACCTGAAAGCCCCGCTCCAGCCTGCTGAGCCACTGAAAAGATCCTTCTTCAGAAAATTCTTCCATCCAGGCTTTCATGATCAACTGAAGGCAGAGAAAAGATAAAATAAAAAAAGATTAAAATAATTTTATAGAATAATACATCAAAGAAAAATAATTTTGATAATAATTATGAACTCTAGTAATTGATTCTGTGTACTGTATAATAGTAGTATAGTATAATAGTCTTTCTAGCTTTATTTACTGAGGATGCTCATATGAGATCTAAATCTCCTTTACCAGAGTCCAACACGACAGCACAATTATGTTAAAGCGAGACTATGTGAGTGTGTGTGAATGGATTAATTACAGTAGCTTCTGATGAGCAGTTGGCATCTTGAATGGCAGCCTCTGCCATCAGTGTATGAATGTGTGTGAATGGTTGAATGGGACACGTAGCGTAAAATCACTTTGAGTAGTCTGAAGGCTAGAAAGGCGTTATATAAATGCAGTTTATTTAATATTTAAGTTCACTTGTACTGACTCTTGTTTATGTGTCAAAAATATGCATCAGATTTTTCAGATATGTAATCACAATCAATGAAATGTGTTGGCTTTTATACAGGAATATTCCATATTTTTACCGAGATTGAAAGTAATGAAATAAAATACTTTGTTACTGTATTTAAGTCAGTTTTTCAGGTATCTGTACTTAGTTGTGATGCATTTGAGGGGAATGTGTGGTGTGTGTGTGTGTGTGTGTGTGTGTGTGTGGTGTGTGTGTGTGTGTTTGTGTGGCAAACAGTGGATCTGAGCAAATAAAGTCACTGAATCAAATGATTTCATAACAGCTACTATGGGAATGATGTCCAAACTACCAAATAAACTTTCTTTTAAAGTGACTGTGTCACAAGTTTAAGTTGCAGTCATCACTACAGAAGTGTGATCTGACTGACAATTCATCAAATTGAGATTCAGGTTGTACAACAAGACTATGTGAAGTTAGCGAACACCCCATTGATCCAGAGGTGCAATTTCCTGTAGCCTTTCCCTGGTGATGTCTTTATACCTGAGAGTCTTGAGGATGAAGGCAGGTCTGTTTTGATGTGGAAGAGAAGCTGCAGTAGGCCAGCAGAGCGTCGGCTGGGCTGCCCTGGTTGGGGTCAATGTAATACATTCCTGCAGAGAAAGGTTAGCGTGAGCTCAATGAGATCTGCAGGGATGAAAGTGCTGTGCTCCACACGTACACAAGGACTTGACCAATTCTACCACTCTAACATAGTGGACTGCAATAAAGAAATATTAAAGATGTTGAAAGTAAAATATTTTAGTGTAAAATATTTTTTAGTATATTGTATATGTATTAATACTCCTCCTTTTTGTTCAGTACCTCGAAGACAGTACGGCCATATACAGTAATGGTGCTATGTATGTTTAATGAGCCTGAAGAGTTACGATAAACATGGATATTTCAGTACGGTGGATATGATTTTGTTTCTTAGGATATGGTCTGATAACAGTACAAGTTCAGTGGAGCTACAGGTTGGTTTGAAATAAATATACAAGAAACTTAAAAAGAGAGAAAATAAAATGTAAGACAAACTATTTATCAATTGTTGCTCTAATTTTAAACGTTTAGAAATGGAATAACAACGTAAGAGTTATGTAACTAAAAATCTAACAATTACATTTATTTTTATTCGTCATGATAAAACTATAAAATGTGCTAATTGCTGGAAATTGTAGTTGAAACATTTGAAATAACTGAAATACTGAAACAGTTACAGTGTGCCTGCTGAAAGAAGTGAAAGGTTTCAGCTGAAGCATAACCACTGAGGCTGAAGTAAAACACTGACGTCCAAAATATATACAGGGCAATCATCTGCAAAGAAAATTAGGCTCTGTAAGTTTATTATTTTACCTTTGTATACTGTATATGCTCATTGTTGATGTTTTGAGACTCAAAACAATTCAAAGTTGAGTTTCAAAACATCAACAGTGAGCTGAAAGGAAATCTTGTAATTTTGAGGTACTATAACATGCAGGGAGTGAAGAGCGTAAAGAGAGGACAGTGTCCATAACTCCAGCTAGTTACATTTTTCCTTAAACGTTTGTGTGGTTTTTTAGGTTATTTCACTGTTTCGGGAACTGACCACTGCTGTATTCAGGGTGACAGAACCAGAGCTCCAGACAGGTGGTGGCAGGATGCTCTTTGCTGCCATCAGGAGGATCCACCAGTAGCCGAAGCTCCTGCTGCAGAGAATCTAGCAGAGTCTGGATCAGAGGATAGTTGGGCTTATCGGACACATACATCAGGTCCTGGACAGGAAGAGAATAAAGAAAACCATACAATTAATTGTTAATTTGATATTTGAGGGAAGAGGTCCATTTAGTTTGACTTGTAAGTTATAGGTTTTCTTCATTTCATTTCAGTTTTTGTAATGCTCTTACAAAAATGCTTTTGTAATTCAACAAAACACTTTAGTTAGACAATGAAGACATCAATTACTTGCCTTAATTTGAGTCAACGTCATGTTCAGTGACTGTCCTGGGGGTCCAGGAACTCCAGGTGGACCCTAAAACACAAGATGCACAAATTGGGTATGCAATACAAAAATATCCAGATTGGATATTGGATCCAGATTTGAAAAGATTATTCATCAAAAAGTGAATTTGCAGTGAAAGAAATGTGTCTCTCGATATATCTTAGATTTATTAACACTCAATTAACAAGTGATGAGGCAAGGAGATAAAATACATTTATTTCTCAACACATTTTGACAGTTTTTTCAAATCAAGTAATGTGGTGTTTGATCAGGAAGATCCTAAAATTATAGTGTCACTACGATTAAAAAAACCAAACCGTACCTAAAGAGAGCCAAAGAACTCTAAAATTTGACCCCATTTCCCCTGAATGTTTAACTAATGTTAGCTAAAAGCCAGTCAAGTTATGAATTAAGAAAAATGAAGTATGCACACCATGCTCATCTGATATTTAACTTCTAGTCATTGTCAATGTCGACACTAAAGACACCTCTGTGTAAATTAATATGACAAGCATATTTTTAAACCAGTCAAACTTTAAACCTCAGTTGTCTGACTCTGTTGTAAACTTACTGGAAGCCCCCTCCTGCCGGGCAGACCAGGCAAACCTTGGTAGCCTTTCAAACCCTGCATGGAGAAGAAAATGTGATAAGCACAACATACGATTCAGCACTGTTTCGCTCGGCACACACCATTGCCGATAAAACACATTGATATGGAAATAAAGACTGCTGCAAAATCCCATTACATTCTAACGGCGACTCAAAGTGTGACAGCTTTATGATTATATGTGCCATCAACATAAACCAGAGCGATCCTAACGTCAAGAGATCCTCCAGGGCGTTTGCTTCAGATAACAGTGAGTAAGAGCTGAAGTGAGTTTGATCTGTCAGAACAAGAGTGCTTGAGTTGATGATATCGTACCTTCAATCCAAACAAACCCTGCAACAAAGAGAGAACAGGAGAAGAAAAGGACATTAGTATGATTATGCACTGTGAAGTGGATTTATCAACAAAGAGCTGCCGAGTGCTTTTATCTGCTGCATTAAGAACCCATCAGCCACAGCATCACAGATTTTATACCCTAAGTCGATGGGTTTTTTCCCCCCTAAGACACAGTGGGTTGAACACAATCATTATGTGCTGTTGAACTCTGTTCTTCAGCTGCCAGCCTGTTGAATCATTCAGATTAGTTGCCTGACAGATAACAGTCTGCACTTTACAGGAATGACTGAAGTTGTTATAAAACAATAACATTTCCATCACACGTTTCACTTCTGTTGCTGTCTCTATTTTTCAGACACAATCTAGATAAAAGTATCTGAGTGACAAATGAACTGCTTGAATTTAAAATATAAAATATCCCAAACAAAAAGGAAAGAATGCATAGCATGAATAAAAGTTTTTTCCTAAAAGAATGCAACAATATAAACAACAACATAAAAGCCAAACTGAAAAACAAAATATCAGTCATAAACAAAATATGCAAGATAAGCTATGTTTACATTAAACTTACAGGCAGTCCTGGCATCCCGGGTGTACCCCTGGGTCCTGGTAGACCAATATTTCCCTTAAAAAACAAAAGAGAGCAAAGGAGACAAACACATTTGATAGTTAGACATCATAAAAACGTATTAAAATACAGTAAAAATAAAAAATAAAAAATAAGAAGACAAACTACAATCTTAATTTTGGGTACCTGCTCTCCCTTCAGGCCCAGTGGACCTGGCAACCCAACAGGACCACGAATACCCTAAAAAAAAAAAAAGTAACATACATCAGACATAATGCTTCCAGTGACTCACTCATCAAATATCCATCACACCAATATCTTTCCTAACAAAACATTTAATTACAGTAAGACACTTTCTTTTTGTTCCAGTCAATCTATTTTTGCAGTTTGCGGGACACAAAAAATTAAAAAGGACAACCTGGGCAAGCACTCCTCTGTCAGAGCAACTCACAATGTCAGTCTCTTGGCGTTTTGTACATTTGTGTATGTTTTGTTGTTTTCTACAGTTCTTACCATAACCAAGTTAAATGGAAATCTTGAAATCACTGGAAGTTTAGTTTTCTAACTAATGAATCTTTGAAACGTGTAGTAATGCTGAGGAAACTACAGACCAGGGGTGGAAGTAACAAATAACATTCATTCAGTCATACCAGGGTGCAGGACAAAAATGCACAAAACTGCACTGAAACTTAGGATGGTGTTGTTATGGGTTAAAGTTAACATTATTGTACCTTGGCATTGTTAAAACAGGTTGCATCTACCTTAAAAGTGGCACTCTTGAAGATATTAATTTCCGTTGAGTCATTATGTATTGCCAACGGAGGTAACACAATGGTAATTGAGCCCATTGCCTACCAAGCATTGCAGTATTTGTATACTTGCAGTATTACAAACTGTGTGTGTGTGTGTGTGTGTGTGTGTGTGTGTGTGTTAGATGCAATGTCAGAGAAGGCTTTAAATGGGCCTTTGAGACATTGCATGTCCAGACTATGCTCGCTGTGATTGGCTTTCGGGAAGAGTAGAGGCTGAGTGAACTGTTCCAGTTTACTTTTCTTGTTCTCTCCTGCAGGCTGCGGTGGATGTCTTCGATGGAATGGAGGAAACAGGAGCTCTCCTCTCGCCACTGCAGCTTTAGATTGTCCACCTCTTTCCTTATCATGGTCAGTGCAGCCTCCAGTTCGTTGATGTCCTCTGTCTGCTGGGCCAGGCACGTATCTTGCTGCGTCTGGCTCTCAGTTTGCCTCTTAAGAGCTTTCTCCTTGTTTAAAAGCTTAAGCTGCAGCTCCAAGATCCTGCTCACCCTCATCAGCACAGCCTGTTTGTGGACAAGCTTGTTTGTTTGGAGAGTTGTTTTAACTCCTCCATCTCAGCTGCCCCAAACCCTTATTGGGTGGTGGTAGGATCTGCTGTGTAGCACCCTCAGGTGTATCAGCCTGCTGTGGTGTCCTTTGGAGGATAGGAAACCTGGACTGCACAGTGTTGTGGTTTGATGCTGCCCTAACCTTTTTCTGTTAAACAGAGTCTCTTTTAGAATCAGTGTCCTTAACCTTTTCAATAAGGTGTTGGTGGCATCCAAAGTTTTTTTTCTCTCAACAGTGACCCTTGTTAATTAAGCAGACTCACAAGCATTGTGCAGCAGCCTGCTGTGGTTTCCTTTGGAGCATACCATATCTGGGCAAGGTTTCTGCCACTTCCTTTTTGGTGGCGCTGTTGTGTGCCTGACAGGGGGAGCCTTGACAGACTGCTGACAAGTGGGTACAGTGGGTACAGCTTCACCTATAGCAGTCTGTTGTGGTTTCTATTGGGGGATACGTATCTTGGCACTGTCTCTGTGCTGTTTAGGTCTCCTCTTCTCTCCTTCTCTGCCGGGCCATTTTTCTTGGTGGTGCTCTGTGCCTCACAGGTTGGAGTCTTGACAGACTGCTGATGTTTGGCAGCCTGGTTCTGCCTGCTGAGAATTTAAATCCTTTTATTCAAGGAACCAAAGGTGTGGCTGGCTGGATGGACTTTTTCTTTTCTTTGTTCTTGCCTTTTTGCTTAGTTTTTCCATGTTTTTTTTCCATCATAAAAACACTTATTGGCTCTGTCAAATGAGTTCCTTGTCTCTGTGAATGTTTTGTGTGAGAGTTTGTGGGAGTTTACTGTCAATTTCCTTTATATCCATGGCCTGTTAAATTATTATTTCCAGTCTCCTCAACTGAATTCATTTGTAAAAGGGCGTTTGATTTTTTCCATACTCAGGCAAAAGGAGAAGCATGGTTTGACAGTGAATGTTAGAAGGACATATGCAGTAGTCAAACTTGACATTCAAGGATGCAATGCAACATATAAAATATCTATAGGAATTAACATGAAACTCATTGGAGCTCTGGAGAAAAAGTCAGTTCCTCTCATAATAAGAGGGAAATCACAATAACTAGTGATACCTAAAATTCAGATGTCCAGTAACAAATGTCCAGTAAGCGTATATAGAAATCCTGAGAACAAGAATTTACTTACAGTCAGATTTTATCATTCATTCATGAGATTTAAAATAGTTTAAAAAATTTCAACTTTTGAATTACATAAGAAAATAAAAAGTCTTTGCTCTTGGACAGTTAGCCCCAAGATACATGCAGGATTTGTCAAACTGTATCATCTTATCACAGTTCAGAATTGCTGCCAACAGTTGGTTGGATGCAGATGGAGATACAGACGCTGCCAGTGACTGAGATTGGACTAAGAGCAGACAAGAGGATAGATGCTGTATCTGACAAATAAAAGCTACAGGTGTAGCTGTATTAGCCACACACTAAGGTCTGAGTATCATCACTGTAAGAATGCAGGCCTCTCTTGACCAACATCGTGATCGTAATAAGACCTAAATTAGTTTTATTCCAGTGGTAGCGTATACCATCTCTGCATTGAAGCTGAAGTCCCCTTGTTCAGCATTTGGCCAAGTGAACTACCAATGACACCATCTCACACTGTAACATTGGACATTCTGTTTATATGAAATCAGTAGTGGAGGAAGTATTAATACCAACTGTTAAAAAAAAAAAAAACTTAAGTAAAGGTATGTAAGTATAATCAGCAACCAATCTGAGCTTATTGCTTTTACTTGATAGTGACAGGACACAGGGCAGAGAGAGGGGGAATGACACACAAAGGCCACTGCAGCAAGGACTCAGCCTTGGTACATAAGGCACCAGCTACACCAGGTGAGCCATCTGGGCGTCCCATAATGGAAATTATGACATGAAAGATGACAATTGAAATATCATCAAAAGAGTTTGAAATATTCTGTCAACTAAGTAATCATTTCAGCGGTACTGGTGTTTGGGAGATGCTAGGGGTCCAGTGTAGAAAATGTGATACCCTGCCATATAAGCTGTCCTACATGCTAGACAATGAGTTGGCCAATGGGTTAAATAATAATGATTCCCCTGTGTTTTTATTACAGAGGTGAAGCAGTTGTGCTTCAAATCTGAGTCACATAAATAAATAAAAACAGGGTTTGGAAGTGTTACCATAAATGCATCACAACTTTCTGCAGCTAGTCCCCAGTCCACCACTGTCAAAGACTCATTTAAATTGCCTTGTGATGGACCATGAAGTTTCTCTGATTCTACAGTGTTAATAGTAGGCAGCTTCAAGGCTGATGTCATGAATAAAATATGCTCAGTATCTCTTGTAGTTTTATTGCTGGCTGCTTTCCCATCACGCCTACAGACACAGTTACCATCCAAACACTATTATTGTTTGTTTTTCAGATTATCTCGGTATTAACACATTAAACATTGACAGCTCCTACCTTCATGCCATCAACTCCAGGTGGCCCAGGAAGTCCCATGTCTCCTTTCTCACCCTGAGGACACAAACAATGCAGTCAAACCTACACGTTCAATCAGACAGGAGAGCAGATCAGCACAATAAAGCATTAGAGAACATCATGGCTAAAGAGGTCTGCCAGAGCCCCAACTGAGGCCCACGGGTGGAAGCATTTTATGAAGGTTTTTTTTTTCTTGGAGGGGGAATGTATGACAAAAAAAAAACAGGATGTTTCTGAATGAACTAACGTAAAATGTTTCTTAATTTTCAGCCCTGGTAGTCTTGAGACCTTAAAGGTTTTTGAATATAAATGAAAGTAGTAAAAAACACTGGATTTAATCTAAACCAATATACCGTAATTTATTGGGCTTGTTTTGCCTTTATTAGACAGCACAGGCAGACAGGAAACAGGGGAGAAAGAGAGGGGTATGACTGGAATTGAATTGAATGGCATGAATGAAACCACAAAATCCAATCCTGATCCAAACTTGCTTTAACAAACTGAAAATAATTAGCTCTGGTTGGGTTGGTTTTCACTAAATCAGGTTTATTCATTCTTGTTTACCTCTTTCCCCTTTTCCCCTTGATCCCCTGGTTCTCCACGTAAGCTCGGGATTCCCTTGATGACAAAAAAAAAAAGAGAAATACATCAAGTGGATATCAATTCACTGACTGATCAAAAATGGATAAATGGACAAATAAATTGACTTACGATGAGCCCGGGCCACCCGGGAAGGCCAACCTGTCCTGTGTCTCCCTTTTCGCCCTGAATGACAAATCACAATGTTGGCTCATACATCATATTTATACCAGATGTACACAAAGCATGTGGCCCATATATCCCACCTTTGGTCCTCTGTCTCCTCTGGTCCCTCTGACTCCAGCCTTCCCGCGTTTCCCCTGTGGACAGGTTCGCCATGTTTTTCAATGAGGCAACAGAAAGCAAGAAGGAACACATACCAAACAATCTAATGTTTTATGTATGAATCTGAACATGCAGCGGCTGTCAGAATGGCTGTTTCCATTTCCACTTGTATGCCACGCACGCACACACACACACACCACGATATCTGCATAAGAATTCATGTTTTCAACACCAAGTACAAGCATTAGTATTATAAACAGAGATAATGACTGAAACTGACCTCGGATTCATAACTGTGGATTTTTTCTTAAATTTCTTACCCTCCTTCCAACATGACCTGTCTTCCCTGGTGATCCATTCTTGCCATTGTCTCCCTGTAGGGTTAGAACACAAACTGATGAGTGAAAAAGCAAATTAGTACTGTTTTGGACAACCTCCAGCTAGAAAATGTTTGTGTTACAAATTTGAAAGAAGTTTAAGAAATGTCTGTAATCTAATAAACAGCACAAATTGCCATTTAGGTGAACAGTCAGGAACTACCAATGCATGTATGAGCGTAACAGAGAGTAATTAAACACAAAACATTTTTTGAACTGTTAACATTTATTTGCACTGTATATAGAGAATTCTGTAACATAAATGCCAGTTTGGGGGTTAAAACTGGAGTTTGATGTTCCTTCCTGGTCTGGAAATGTAACTGCTGATGCTAAACTAACTTCAGAAATTGAGTTAATCTGATGTTAAGTGGCCAAATATGATTTACACCAATAATTAATGAAAAGCGGGTTCAGCTCTTCACTTCATTTTTCAAAGTGTTACTAAACAAGATGGGAGTGCTACTGAGCTTCTTGAATTTATTGATATGACTATACGTTGAAAAGAAGCTCCAAAATGGACCAAATGATTTTTGTCCAAATTTGAATCTTTTGGAAAGCTAGAATGTGTAAGAGAAGATGTTAAATTACATATTAAGATGCATAAAGACAACAAGTCACACAGCAACATGAGGATCTTACCTTCTCTCCTTTCATGCCCAGATTCCCCTCAGGTCCTGGTCTTCCTTGCACTCCCTGCAAAGGACCCATAGTTTTTCATCATTATGCTGTTAAAATAACTGGCTGGCTTTCAGACAGACAGCACACACACACACACACACACACACACACACACACACACACACACACACACACACACACACGCTATAATCTGATTGTTTGCTTTTTTCCTCAATAATTAATATCTACCAAACAACAATAATTGTACACCAGCAGCTGAAGATTGAAGAATCAAAATATGATTTCATCATCCACAGTGTTTCTGTGTTGTACACATACACACACTTACAGGAGCCCCTGTGGGACCTGGGGAACCCTGGGGTCCAATCTCTCCAGTAGGCCCCTGAAAAAGAGAAGGAAGAGGCACAAATAAAAAAGTTAGAGTTGTTGAGAGGAAAATAAGCAATCTTCAGCACTGGTAATTAACATCACACACCTCAAACCCTGGCAGAGCCGGGGGACCTCGGATTCCTGGCAGACCATCCTCACCCTGCACAGGTAATTCACATTATTCAGATGGTTTTATGGAAATTTGTATTAGAATGTATTTATCACTCAGGTGTAGCACCATGCAGGGCAGTAGTTCATATATGGTGGATCTGTAATAATGTACAGTAGATAACACGAAAAACCTCACTAACCTGCTCTCCTGGTGGACCGGGAGCTCCCGACACTCCCTTCAGTCCCTGTGGCCCTGATTCCCCTTTAGCACCTTGGTCTCCCTGAGGTCCAACTTGTCCTACTGGACCCTGCCATGCAGATGTCACAAAAAAACAATAACAATTACCTTTACAAGTTAGTTTGTTTTTGTTTTTTCAGGATTTAAATGTGATTTTACTTACTATAAATGAAATTTAAATCAGCTTTTAGAGTGAGATGCTTTGTGACTGGTTTCAACTGCAACTAAACTTGTCTCAGTTTAATGTAAAAAAGTGCACACATTAAATACTGTACAACCTCAAACTTCTGCCATCTGACTAACAACAACATCTGTAAATGACGTGGAGTTTCTCAGCTGTTGGTCTGTTTACAAGTAACAAATAAGGTGCTCGTTGCCAGGGATTTGGTATGTTTTCTTTATTCACCCTTGAGTTAATTTGTTTTGGTATTTTCTATTGCTTGAATGTGGTTTTGTCAAGCACTTTGTTTGCAGGACGTGTCAGTCCAGGTTAATTGGCTGTGCATGGGGAAAGTCTTTAATGGGAGACTGGGCTGGGTGAAGCTGAGTTATTGCAATCTTTTAGGGGGGACCAAAGTGGCGGGCCGAGTAACCGACCGACAGTGCCGTCCCTAGATCCCTGGGATGGCTTGGCTAAAAACCATGTTAGAGGGACATTCTTACATTGGCTATGTTGCTGAGAATTTTTTGTTTCAGCAGTACACCACACACTGTGATGACCATTAAAACTTAAATACCACTGTAATTAGATAGAGTTCTCCTTAAATCACTTTAAAGTGTAGCTGTCACATGAACACTTAATTTACTGATCTTTGCAGTGATAGAACAAAGGGGAAATCGTGTATTTCAAAATGCTGCTTCCATTAGCAATACTGCCTCTGCACAGGCAAACAAACCATATACAACAAACAACTTCCTGATACTTGAGGATACTTACAGGTGGTCCCAGCCCCCCTGTGTCTCCTCTGACACCACGTGCACCAGTTGTTCCCTACAGGACAAACAGAGAGCAAATGTATGGCTTTTGTCATGTATCTGTACCGTGCACAGTGCTGCAGAAAATGCTGAATGGCATCAGCGTTTACCTGAAGGCCCCTTAACGCCGGTGGTCCAGTAATTCCTACAGGCCCAGAATCCCCCTGGAGAGATGGATGAAAAGACATTCCTGTGACATTTATTCTCATTTAACTGATTCAAGCAAATCGCTGTGCGTAACGGACTGTAAAAAGAGGTGTGTTAGAAAGAGTACAGTGTGTGCCTGTCGAGGCAGGGGTTCTCTCAATCTGATGATTAAGCCAGTACTGATTAGTCCCTCTTACTCCCTCTGTCATCAGCAGTGTACTGTTTGTCCACAGTGAAAACATGCAGCAGTTATCAAAAGACCACACTCGTGACCTTGAGCAAAGAGTTAGAGGTAGAATGATTTTCTCTTGAAAGCAAACTCTCAGATTCGTTCTTTTTTTTACTTTACACAAAATATGTACTGATTCAGAACGTAATATCATGGCCTTTGATTTGGCTGCAGTAATTTTTTCCAACCAAGACCAAATGAAACTCTTTGGGCTGATTGATTACATTCAACACTAAAAAAAGACTAATGAAATCATGAAAAGAAATATGAATCCAGAAAGATGAAGATATTTTGTCTGTAAATTGTGACATTAGAATTTCATTTTAAAATTTCAGTGACAACTTTTCGATTGAAACCCATGGCTGCTGCAGCAAGGACTCAGCCTTTGTACATGGGGGGCCAGCTCTACCAGATGAGCTATCCAGGCGCCCCTACAACTTACATTTTTGCTTTACTCTGTTCTGATGTATAGAAACAATTCTTAACAATATAGTGAGTTTCTGACAGCAATTTAAGGAAAATCTTACCTTCTGACCCTGAGGTCCATCTAGTCCCGGGGGTCCTCGAGGGCCTGTGATTCCCTAAAATAAGCATAACAGACCAGAGAAAAACTATAAACATTGACAGTTTGAACATGTGTGGAGACGGAATAAATTGATAAAAGGACAACGTATCTGTCAGGTGGATCAATAAATGTCAATCTCAGCAGTGAACTGCTCCAATAAAGGTTAATTCAAAGGCAGCTGAGAGCAGCATATCATTGACAGCATCAACACATCACGGCAACAAACTGACCTGTAACCCCGCCAGACCTGCAGGTCCCACTTCACCCATCAGCCCCGGTTCACCCTGTGAAGATGAAGATGAACATGACATTCAATTCAATTCAATTCAATTCAATTGTATTTGTATAGCGCCAATTCATAACAGAAGTTATCTCAGGACACTTTTCAAATAGAGCAGGTCTAGACCGAACACTTTATAACATTATTTACAGAGACCCAACAGTACCACCATGAGCAAGCAAGACATCAGGAACAGTTTATGCTGCTGACTAATGGAGCTGATCACTATGTTCATTCTGATCTCAGTGATGTTGCTTCCTTCCTCTTCTTTTCTTACAAGGATCTTTTGTGATTTTGTGTGAAGTTAATGTAATAGTCACTACTAGTTACACAAACAGGAAGAAATAGCAGATTTGTTTATTATTTTCAGTGGAAGATCAATAGTCATTTTATGCTCTGGTTAGTATTTACAGCAGCAGGATGGTGTGGTGTGTGTTCATTGTAATGAAGGAACATGTCAGTGCAACAGTGTGGTCCTCAAATCCAAACATGTTTGATGCTGGGAGTATGCTGTGCCATTAAAATGTGACAAAAATACCAAACCCACCATTGTCCCAAAACTGTTGAGGAGTAAAACTGTGCTCACCATTAGTCCAATGTGGCCCTTCTCCCCCTTTGGGCCCCTTTTGCCGTTTTCTCCGAGGTCTCCCCAAGGGCCTTCTCGACCAGACAAACCTAGAGGTCCTACCTCTCCCTGTCGACAAAATCACAGTCTGATCAGAAACTGCGACCATCACTCAGATCCCAAAAACAATCCCATACACAAAGCCCCGCCCCTTTTTGCTCTGTGCTCCAATAACAGCTGAGCTTTCTCCTTTCCTGTACTGAGATATGCTATGTGCTAGGCTCGTCTACGTGGAAAAGACAAACACATTTTGAAGATGGTTAAAAGATGAAAGCGACATACATATAGTCACATCTTAATTTAGCTAATGTTAGACTTAGTAAGGGTCAGTCATCCTCTTAATCACAGAGCTTGTCCATTCACCAATTTCAACAAACTAAAGTATTATGCTGACCTTGTCCCCTTTGGCTCCAGGATCTCCAGTTTCACCAGGATGCCCGACATCACCCTGCAGAGGAGGAATGAACGTGAGTCTGAAGTTGTTAAACTGTCTGCTGCATGTGGGAACAAAAACAATAGTTTGAGAGTTTGGGAAATATAATTCCTTTTCTGGCTCTTGTTGGTATTTTACTTTTTGTTTTGTTTTGCTTGATTTTTAAATAAAAGATTTAACTCTGAAGCCTGCACGGATGAGAAACTACCACCACATCATCAAGACGGCTTCATACATTCAATGACAAACTGGAAAATTGTGTTTAAAAATGCCAATAAGTACTTTAAAAAGCAATTACACACTCTATTAGCACTCTGCTGGACTTCATAAATGTTTCGATTTCCGATGTTTTCAAGGTGGAAGGTACATTTTCAGGTTGTGGAACACGCATTTCATGAAGCTGAGTGAAGCCTTATACGCCTGTTGAAGGTATCAGAGTTTACAGGCCACGCCAGCTCACTGCTCATCTTGTTGTTATACAATCAGCATTTGGAAACCCTCACAGGAATTTCATCATCAGTAAAATATCATTTCACGGTTTTTGTAACAGTGGTGGTGGTTTAATGCTTTTCAAACCATTTTTAGATTTAATTTTATTTCAAGGAGCACCTGCATTACTTACAGGCTGACAATAATCTGCAATACTAACAACAAATACAACAGCTGTTAAGCATAACACTGTTTGTGTGATGATATAAAGTAAACAGGATGAAGGTAATACTGATGTGATGAAGTCCTTCAATTCTTCACTGAACTGGGAAATAACCTCCTGTGGAGCTGCTCTGTCATTTATGAGACAGCGGTTGGACACGTGTGAGAACATCTGCAGTCATTTAAAGTAAAGATCATCTTTACACCCACCTCTTTACCCACTGGTCCGGGTGCTCCCTGTAAGCCTTTTGGGCCCTCAAATCCTCTCTCTCCTGGAATCCCTGGAGGACCGAGTTTCCCACAAGGCCCTATGTCTCCCTGTCAAACATTGGCAACATAAGAAGACAGGAAATCAGATACAGCTACTGACCGCAGGCCCTTTTAATGCTAGGACATGGCTGGCTGTCAGAAGGCTTTATTCCCTCACACCTGAGGCTGACTGCCTCCACAACATTAAACAAAGTTAACTTGGCCCCATGTTATTCGAAACAAACATTTGAAGTGATTTCTGAAGTTGCTTGTTGTCTGAACAAACAGTGATGTAAAGACTCAGGAATGATGCTGCTGTGATCACTGACCTGGTCTCCTTTCCGTCCAGGTGGACCTTCAGTTCCTGTTTGGCCAGGGAGTCCCTGATGAGTCAAAAGAACATGAGTCCTCTGCTGCCTTTGTACACAGTTCCTTTTGTAACGGTGTAAAGGTGATAAGCGAATTTGCCCTCATCCTATTTACTCTCTCTTCTGTTTCAGCCAATCTTTTTAACTTTCAACCATGTTTTTTTCTGAATGTAAGAGTAGTATCAGACTGAGCTTTGCCTTAATGATCCTCTGTAAAATTCAGAAAGGAAACATGCTACTGATCACATTCATGGCTGATGTTACAATCCTCAAAAAGGTAATTGTTCAAACTTCAGGCTAAAAATATAAATACAAAGGGAAAGAAAATATACATGAAACATCCTGTGGCATATTCAGTGGTTCATTTTCGTGTTGTCATCATGTAATATTTGTTTAATAATTGTTAATTTCTCCCATTTCCCTTGACATCGCTCCTCTTGAGCTCTTATTCTGTGAGTTAACAGTTCTATATTTTATTCTCAATTTTCAGCCATCTGTCTTTTTGTTGGCAGTTCTTTGCACTATTTGTTCATAAGGTGGTTCAACATGGCAGCTTCTGTAGAAGAGGACCCGCTCCCTCAGAAGACAAAAACGTCTAAGGTAACGAAAACATAACAATTCTTATTTTCAGGTCATTATATACAGCAAACATACCTATGAATATCATATTCCATTTCTGTCAATAGATCCTCCTAAATGTTACACACTGGACCTTTATCACATTATCTCCTGTCATATTACCAAAGTAAAATACTACACATGACCTATGAATATCATCGCCCCAAATTTTTCCAATAACCATTACCAAAATACATGGGAATAGTCTACATTGATTTCCCCCACTTTTGTCTCCAACATAGTTGTTTTATAGACATATATTTGCTTTGGGTGTAATAAAGGTGATTAGAATTTATTTGTATTATTATATATACACATTATCTATGAGTTTACTATTATTTCACTATGTTTATAATAAAGGGGGTGATAGAAAAATAAAGTAGATCATTTCGATATTGGATATATGAAAATACTGCTTTCTTTGCTTCACTAGAAAACTAAACTAACCTGTTGTCCATCTTGTCCTGTGGGGCCAGAATCACCAGGTAAGCCAGGTAAACCCTGGAGGTCACAGAATCAGTTCAGTAACTGGACATAAAGGAAGGTTACACAGACAAAACTCTCATAATGAAACACTGACTTTACATAATTTGTATATGTGCTGTAGTTTACCTTGTGTCCTCTTTCCCCTGCTGCTCCTAATAATCCATCCACACCCGGTGGCCCCTAAGGACATCCAACAAACAGTTTTATGTGATTCCTTAATATGTTGTGAAGACTAGTCAACCAGATGTTCAGACACTTGTATTTAAATGAAAATATTGATCTATTTTCATCTTTCGAGACTATGAGAAGTCTGAAATATAAAAGTAAGAGCAGCAGTTGATGGTAGGTACCCACTCACTGGGATTCCTGCTGGTCCATGTGGCCCATGGGGTCCTGGGGCCCCTTGGCTTCCCCTGGGTCCAGGTTTACCAGTTGTCCCATCAACACCTGGAAGACCTGGAGGGCCCTAGAATAGAGATCAATCTTGTAAATTCTGTCAAATGTCAAAAAAATCTGATCTAATCGTAATGTTCTGGGTGAGTTTCGAGGACATTGTGGACTGGACCTGCGTAGATCTGCGATCATTTCTGTTTTCTCTTCTGTTGTGCCTTCATTGTCTCTGCTACATACAGTTTACATTCAGTCACTTGGGACTCATTTTCAGTCAAATCAGTCAATTTTAATTTTAAGAAAAGTTTGACAAATGGATTGGAGATCATGTCAGCACACATGCAACACACACTGGTCAATTTGTGTTTTGTGATCAGTGGTCCACATCAACATGTACAGCCAGAGATTGACAGGTGACATTTTTGTAATTTTGTGATGATTGGTTCCTGGACTGTGAGTAATACATTCTAAGCAGGTGTTATAGGGACATCATTGACAACCAATCAATTACATAACCTTTTTTCATTAAATTTAGAAGCACTGGGCTTTGACTATTTCACGACTGAGTGAATTCCCCCATCACCATAGTGTATTGATACTGTATTGAGGTTTTCTTTATCTTTGTCTTTCATCATCCTGATCAAAAGAAGCCTCAAGCATACAAAATATGTCTGACTAGTTGAAGGAATATACAGATTTAATAGGGTTTATTTGTTTAGAACACAACAGACGCCTTGACTGGCTTCTTTGTGTGGGCAGTCAAGCAAAACCAGTACAAAACCTTATGATGTTTGACACCCAACATGAACTTTGCTGTGCACATTATTATTCTTCATGATGAGTCATATTATCAAACCAAGACAAAAAGACATGAAATAAACTGTGTGTCCAATTCAAATTCTACTTAATTGCAAACACATAACCCTGTAACAATGATGTGTCGTTGTGAAAATACAGTCCTATAAACTGCAAACTGCTCGACTTCACTGTGGACTACAACTCACTGGTGGGCCCTGTATCCCTTTGGTTCCTTCATCTCCAGGTCGACCCTGTGAGAAACAACAACAGTTGTACTTTAGTCACTGGTTGATTAAGAAAAAAATATTGGTGATTCTGAAAGTCTCCCAGTGAATGTATTAGTTCTTTCAGACTAGATCTGATCATTGTATATACACTATTTTAAAGGATGAACATGGTGTACAGCTTTTAACTGTGTCTGTTTTAATCTAAGCCCTGAGGGACTGTACATGACACCATTTCTGTCATGCCCAACAGTCCCAAAAAATAAGTAAGTAAATTCCCACCACCTCCCAAGCTTTTGTGAGCAACATCCATGGCCCCAAGCCTTCACCTTCCCCCTTGCGCCACAGTTAAAGCTCTAGAAAATGCTTTAGATTGCCCATTAAGAGGCTACAGTGTTAGCTAATGCTAAACCCAGCATAAAAAGCTCAAGATTAAAATGTTGCTGTTATCCAAAGAGCTAATTTACAGTAACATCTGGAAATTCTTCATGTGCATTACATTACTTTGAATTCTAAAACTGTAAACATGTGTTGTTGTTTGAGATTATTAAAAAGAAGAGGAGATAATTCATTTGTGTGTATGATATGATATCATATTATATTATAAGATAATATTTTACATTATATTTTTTGTGCTGGTTTTCCAAACAAAATTTCCTCAGGTACAATAATAGTAATAGTGTGTAATTCTGAGTCATAATTTAATGATCAAAAACCACTGGCATTACTGTTTGCATCCGTCAACAGTGTGTGGGGAAAACCAAATATTTTGTTCTCTTTGATTTAGGGAACAACCTCTCCGACTAAAGGTTTCTCTCACCTGAGGTCCCCGGGGTCCTTTCTCTCCAAGGGGACCCGGCAGACCCTGGAAAAGAAAAACAGACAAGTAAGAACATGTTAATCACACCCACAACTCACACTTTCGTCTGAGCAGTGTGTGATGAAATAAGAAATATTTTTTATTTCATTTGTACCCTCGTCTCTCTGAACATTTTCACATCCTTATCTTGTACCTATGTGTAGTGTGAAACTTTTATTGCTTTGGTGAAATATTAGCTGTCATAATACAGCCAGTATATCATTCTCCAAAGTTTTAAGGTGCTGAACATAAGCCTCCAACTAACTAACTGTGAAATGCCTTTTCTTCAGTATCATTGTTGATTGTTGAAGTCACAATAGTCATCTGCCTATGTCACTGAGTTCTTTAGATATTTTTAGAATATAAGAGATTATAAGATTATCTTCCTCCTACACCTTACCTGGACATTGAACAAAAAGAATGTTTTTTAAAATACACTTTAAACCCTGAATAGCTACTGTATCACTGCATCTTAAGGATGGTGAGGACTGTATTGTAACACCTTTAATGTCTATTATCCAGAGTTCTCATTACACGTTCTTTTATTCCCTCTAAGAATAAATTATGGACATGCTATTTTGAAAACTTTTCTCAGCAAAATATAGAACCTCCATGTCCGTTTGTTCCTTATGTTGACAGGATTATATTCTACCATGATGAGTGCGGCTTTCAATGCATTCAGTGATGTGGACACAAAAGCAGTCAGTTTACCACCGTATTTAAGTGTTCAAGCCAAGAGCTGACGAATCCACCTTCTCAGCAATGTATAACTTTACTCTATGACAGATTGATGGATTTTACCACAGCAGTGGGCAGCCATGTGAGTGAGCAAAAGGTGTGTCCAATGATACTGCAGGGAGGACTTTGGACAAGGAGTGAACTTCAGAAGAGTCCCACTTCCATTTCTGAAAGTAACTCTTTCCATGCAAGAGGGACTATCTTATTCCCAAACCTAACCAACCAAAAGGGGAGGATTGATTTATAGGGTGCAGAAACTTTGACAAGAAGAAAGTTTGACCTTTCAGCTTCATTTACAACTTCACCAAAGCAGGGAAAAAGCCACCAGTGCAGGGCAGTGAAAGACCTAGTCTAATTATTGAGAAAACAACCAAAGAAAGGTGTGTCATTGCATACAGGTGTGTGAGGGGTTGTATGTGGATTGCTATACTCAGGTGCATACAAGAGTGTGTTGAAGGACATTTAACAAATCTCTGCTGGAGTTTATATTCTTCATGTGGTCTGTGTTAAAGACCTGTTGCACTTCTTGTATTCAGAAGTCTCCTTCACAGCTCTAGACCGGTCATAATAATTACGTTATTGACTTCGAACCATCACCTGTCACAATATCTGTTTATTATTCGAGAATGACACCAAAATGATGCCATAATAAACAGCAGGCTTTTCCATACCATTAAAGAAACCGCATGCCCTAAAGCCTGCCCCTGTGTCAAATGGTTAGTATTTATTTAAAGGTCCAGGGTGTAGTATTTAGCATCATCTAGCTGTGTAACTGCAGATCGCAACTTCCTCGCTTCACCCGACTCTTCCAATCGCAAAGTGTTTAGTTATTCACTTCTGGGTTGCTGTAGAAACATGTGTTTGTGTTTTCTATTGTGTCATTTTTATTTCCTGGAAACTATGTTGACATTTTGGCCAAAACAATCTGAAAAAGTCCCTGATCGCAACTATCAAAAATGAACAATATTATAACACCATATTTTCATCATCTGCTACATAATAAGATAAAGTTAATGAAATACTGTTGAAACAATGGTCATATGTAAGCAGAAATATATATAAAAATATTCAGCTACATTTAGCCAGTACACTATATAAATACAAACAATATTAAGCTAGAGGAAATCACTGCTTGCTGGTAAGCTGTAGAGATGGCAAAACATTGTCAAAGTCAGTCAGTTCTAGTTTTTCTACTCTACTGCCATGAAGTCCACAGTGCAACAGGGCTGTAACATGTGGAGAGAACGGCTTTGTCATTGAGGATGTCACCTGGCACTCTGGATTGCAGGGGACAGGCTGGAGGGCAGTGACAGGAGCAATTTATTTGTCCTCTATCAGGCGGACGTGCCATCTCTCTCTGCCATTAGCTTTGCCACCAGTGCCCCCAACAAAATCAATCACTGCGACCTGTTCGTCTTCATAAACAGACAGTCCCTGCACACCAGCTGCACACTTCACTGGTTTACTTTTATTTACCAAACCCTCCTTGCTGTGACCCCATCATAGCTTCTGTCTTAATCAAATCCCCTGAACAATATCCCCTGCACTCTCATATACCCCTAACAGTTCCCAGGGGTCAAAAGATAGGAAATAAAAAACAAAAATAAACCACAGACACTTACTGCAGGTCCTGGCTTCCCAACAGGGCCAGGTAAACCTCGTAAACCTGGCTCACCCTGGTGAAGAAGAAAAATAAGAGTTTATTATTGTCATTGTTCATCATTTCTTACAAACAGAATTTAACAGTAGATCTAAAACAGTAGTTCCTTGAGGGACCCTTTTTCTATCACTGAGTAAGCTGACGCCCCCTATTTCATTTTATATTCAATGCATAAAAACAGTACAGAACAACTGATAAACTGTACAATGAATCCAAATATGGATGAATTTTTTAGATAATTTTACTTTTAATCCCTTAATCATTCTATCATTACCATGTATATTTAAATTTGTTTAACAATCAAACATACTCAAAGGGAAAAATCTATATTCTTCTTGTAATTAACAGATAATGTTGTCTGCTACAAATGGCTTTTCACCCTCTGAACTCTACTGTGTAACATCCTGAACTGAGTTCGTGCTCCGCTCTGTATTTTCTTCAACCAACAAAGCTCCCCTTATCAAGGATCAAGATAGGTGAAAGAAAGATGACGTTACCCTTTCTCCTGTGAACCCTGAAGGTCCACGCATGCCCACGTTCCCCGGGATACCCTGATGGCAGAAGGAACAACAGAGGGAAGAATTTCATTAATCATCAGTTAATGCTACAAAGGCACATCTAGCAAATGTGGGGATCCATATCTGTGCCACAACTCATAAACTGGGTAGGGTTTATTATTTTCTTTTTCAGAGTTATACATACATTTTTGGGAAAGGCACCTCCTAATGCATTGGGTAAACCTTTCTTTTTAATGTATATTTTATTTATGAATGTTTTCCTTTTTTACAACACAAAAAAGAGTTGAACAAAATAAAGCAAACTGCCAGCTCACAGAAAAAGTGCATCTATATCAATATGTACTATGAATGTAATATTCACAACTAGATCAACAGTCAGAAATAAAGTAGAAAACAATTAGCTCCCATGTCCCCTCACTCCTTATACGTTCAATAAAAGGCCCCAGATCTTAAAAAGTTATCCAAGGTATAGACAAGAAACCATGTCATTTAGCCATTTCTAAAGCAAGGAAGGGAAACAGATTTTCATTCCATTCTCAGGATAACCTTTTTAGTATTTTATTGCCTTTATTATAGTGACAGCTGAAGATAGACAGGAAAGGGGGGCAGAGAGAGGGCATGACACGCAGCAAAGGGCCGCAGGCTGGATTCAAACCCTGGGCTGCTGCAGCAAGGACTCAGCCTTGGTACATAGGTCGCCAGCTCTACCAACTGAGCTATCCGGGCGCCCAGGATAACCTTTTTTGATAAGACCATACCACACATCAGGACTTGTTGCAATGGTGGAGGAAGAGTCAAAGAGTAGTTGAAGCAAACCCAATATCACAGAGAGACTGTCAGGCACTAGTTGCCGTGCTGTGTATGTCACTGTTCAAATGAAAAATGTCATCCCAGAAACTCTTGAGGTTGGGGCGAGATCAGAAAAGATGACTCAGGGTCCTTTCACCTACTTACACTTATCACAGCTGGCAGAAACAGAGGGGAAGATTCCAGGCGATGCATGACTTCAAATGAGTTGAAGTCTAGCATTGATAGAACGTGTTTTGATCCTATCTAACTCCTTTGCCCATAACTCATCTGAAATCTCCTCAGAAATATCCTAAACCCATGCCTCTTTTCTTTGGAGAGAAGGGAAACTGTAAAATGAAATGGGTCAAATTGGGAAATTTCTAATACTGGGTAGGACCCCTTTGCCCCTAGAACAGTCTGGATTCTTTGTGGCAGGGCTTCAACATCGATTGACATTATTTACTCTAAACTCAGTGAACAGTGTCCCTTTTCAGCAGGAATGTTATCTGTGAGAGGACATAAAAATCCATCATCAAAATATTCAATGCAATATACCTCTTTTAAACCTTATGAATTACATTAACATACTGACCATCAATGTTTCGTGTCAACTAATGATTTTCATAAGCGACTAACGTTTCTCGATCAATCAATTAGTTGTTCGGTCCATAAAATGTTGAAAACTTTGATCAGTGTTACTCAAAGCCCAAAGTGACGCCCTCAAATGTCTTGTTCTGTCCACAACCCAGAGATATTCAGTTTACTGTGGTTGAGGATGAAAGAAAGCTGAAATCACAGAATTTTGATATTTTTTCTTAAAAAATGATTCAAAACTATGAATAAATTATCAGAATAGATGGCGATTTATAGTTGACAACTAATAGATAAATCAGCAAATCATTGTAGCTCTAGTATCAAATAATTAACACATACTGGTAACAGGTAAGAATCTGTGTAGAAACAGTGTATTAATGTGCAATTATACGGTATATTGTTCATGTACTGTATACTGTCTTCTGTATACATTATGTGTATGCTGTGTAAAGGTAGTACAGGGGCTCAAGAATCACTTACATACATGCCTACTGGGCCCTGAGGTCCCTCCATGCCTGGCTTCCCTGTGAAACCCTGAGAAAACACACACAACACATATATCTACACAGCATATGATGACAAAATACACACATACAGCAGATATCTACACAGCACATAATGACAAAATACACACATACAGCAGATATCTGTGTGTGCTGATGTAATGCAGGTCATTACTGCTATGTGCCTGTGCACTCACCTTGTCTCCCGGGGGTCCTGGCAAACCTGGGGGTCCTGGTTTCCCCAGAGGCCCCTGTCAGATAAAAACACTGTCAAACAAGGTCCAAAGTTCCAATCAATACTATCCTTTTATCTGTCCGGCCAATCAGATACGCACACCAACACTGACAATGTAGCTTTAGCTTTCAGCTTAGTTTCTCAATTCTAAACAAAGCACTGTTGGCTTAAACATTTATTTTACAGAAAATAGATATATAATCAGCTGTTCTTTCTCAAGCTTCATGCTTCAGAGGATCTGTTCATCTCAAACAAACATCCTGCCTGACTGCCTCATCTCTGTACGCTTCTGTCTTCCAAATGACACAACCACAGAAGGATCACAAAGCGTACCGGAGAACCTGGAGGGCCATCTGCTCCTCCGTCTCCAGCAATTCCTTGAAAGCCCTGGAAAAGTAGCAGAAATAATCAAACATTTGCCACAAGAAGTAAAGAGGGACAGAGTGGGATGACAGAACACATTATGAGAGTTGCAAAGTTGACCAAAATTATAAAAGTACAAATGTGGAACAAATTGTCATTTATTTCTAAAAATTAAAAGATATGCACTGAGCTGTTAAATTATTGGCTTAAATTAGTTGATTCAGTATTTTCATGATAGTTGCTTAATCTGCCATTTAATTGACTCTTGGCCATTTCATTTGATGAGATTTGTGAAGTTTAATTCAAGACTCTTTAACAGGCTACATTTGTCTTTGTTAACTTGAGCAATTAATGATGTCTATCTTATCAAGTCATTTAATCTTAAATTTATAGTTCAACATTTTAGTTAATATGCTAATTAGCTTTCTTGCCTAGAGTTGGATGAGAAGAGTGATATCACTAACGTCAACAGCGTCTGTACATGTTCATTTGTTCATAATAAAAGTTGTTACTCAGCAGGTTTAAGCTTAAGTAGTAAATCCAGTTTTGAATGGGAACAAATCCCTGCAGCTAGGTTCCAAAATATTGTGGAAAACCTTCCCAGAAGAGTGGAGGCTGTTAGAGCAGCAGATGAATCCACGGTTGGAATGACCAACACATAGGTACAATAATAATAGGTGTCTAAATACTTTTGGGCAAAGGGTGTGTCTATACTACATAAAATATGTGTAGGTATGTGTGTGATACATACACACATGTGCTTACATGAACTCTGATCAGCCCCAGACGCTTTCAGTGAGCACACCTGATATCTTTAACTGGCTGGTAGCAGGTTCTGTTCTGTCCTGTTAAAACTTTTTTTTGTGTTGGCAGAGTTTGCTGTGTTTGCCTGCTCACAAATCAATAAAAGCCTCCATATTTAATCCGGAGCTGTCTTGTAAAACTGTAATAATGTGTTATTATTCTGCTGAACCCTGCAGCTTGTGGCAAAGAGCCAAACCAGCCGAGCAGGAGGGATGATGTCATGAGCAGAACATTGAGGTCATTGTGAGGGTAACAGTCTTACCGTCAGCCCTTTACTGCCAGCACTGCCAGCTGCACCTGAGGGACCCTGAAACACAAAGAAAACACCAACAATGCAATTTTTCCCAACAGCAGAGCAGGTCATTCAGAGAGCAAATAGTAAATATAATGACTTTAATGAATTAAATTTTCAAGTCATTTAATCTTAAAGTTATAGTTCAACATTTTGGTTAATTTGCCTTCTTGCTGAGAGTTAGATGAGAACAGTGATGTCACTTTTATATCTGCTCATTAAATATGAAGCCACAGCCACAAGATGATCTCTCATGTGAACAACGTTTGTACATGTTTAAAAATGGTTGCATTTTAGTTATGTTATATAAACAAAAATCACATGATTAAGGTTGGGAAAATAATGTGGTCATGGTAAATAGTAAATATACTGTAAACAATAATTTCCAGTTGTGGTTATCACACTGTTAATCTGGCCAGTAGTATTATGTTAATGCTCTGCTGCCCTTTTCTCACATCCACTTTGCAGCATTCAGGCATATCTTGTTACCTCTGGACATAACCAGCTAGCTGTTTCCCCCTGTTCCAGTCTTTAGGCTAAACTAAGTTAACTGTCCCCTGGCTGTACTTTCATACTTACTGCACTGATTAAAAAGTGGCATCAATCTTATAAAAAATAAAGCATATTACCCAAAGTGTCAAATAACTTCTTTAATCAATTTCATTCAAAACTATTTTTTATTTGTTTCTGTACATTTATTTAAAATAAAGACAATGTCTTGACACAAGTGAAACTGCAGTGGAGGCATTTTAAGATGGAGTCACCCAAGTTTAGGGCTGCAAATAATGATCATCTCCATTCTTGAGTAATCTGTTGATTATTTTTATAATTAGATGATTAATGACAGAAAATTGCCCATTACAAGTTCCCAGAGGCCAAGGAGACATCTTCAAAGTGCTTGTTTTGTCTAACGAACAATACAAAATGATTTCAAACAAAGAAAAGTAGCACACGTCCTCACATTTGAGAAGCTAGAACAAGAGAATGTTTAGCATTTTTCCTCGTAAATGAATTAAATTATCCACTGATTATTGAAATTACTATCAATCGGCAAATCAGTCACTAAGTTAGTTGGAGTTAGTTACTACTAATTGCTGATTATGAAGATGTTAACTTTTTGTAATGCATCCCTCTATTAGAATAAATCTCTCAGTCAAGTTAAGTGCTGTCTTTCAATAGAATAAGAAAGACCAAGCATGAACTCTACACCACAGCTCCTCATAGTACTCCTGTAACGTACAAAGACTGCCTCCTGCTGTCTGAACCAACAATTACTACACACTGTATGAGTGACCTGTCAGTATGTCTCTCCTTTAAACCAACAGCCATAAGATGTATTGAGAGGAACATTTTTCCTTAAATGAAGTGAAGGGTGTGATCCTATGCAGATACACATTCAGCACTAGTTTTACACAATAAAAGACACAAAATCTGGACTAAAACCAAGACGGGTAATGAGATGTGTGTGATATCCACACAGTAAAATAATAAAATAAAATCAAAATAAATCACAAAATAATAAATGCAGGAAGTAGGGGACACACAGACACATTAAGCATTTACAGGTGATGGAATTGAAATATGATAGAGAATGGGAACCTGTGTACCAGGCTTTCCTTCTGCTCCCTCTGGTCCAGGTGGCCCCGGCAAACCCTGGGAGGGATCAACCAAAAACACACACAGACACACACATGCAAACTGTTAATCCTGTACAACTCTTCCCGAAGTGTAAGACATTGTTGTGTTTTGTCTCTGCAGGTCAGTATGATAGAGAGAGGTTTAATATGTATGTTTAGATAGTAATATAATCACATATGCATAGAGAATTTGGGTTTTTAGGCCATCAGTAGACCATATAAATGTATAATAATGACAATTTAACTAGTCTTAAAGGCCTTGTGTTAATTGTTAAAGACCTGCATTTTGAAGCAGAACTATACAGAATTCAGGCTCTACTACATTTGGAATCATGTCTGACAGGCTTTAAGTTTACCGAAGGGCCAGGTTGGCCAGCGTGGCCCCTCTCTCCAGTCCGACCCTAGACAAAAGTCAAGAGAGAAGACTACATCAGCATCATATACCTGATAATGGAATACAGAGCAACTTACACGTCACGTGCCTAAAGAGTTTGTCAGACAATGGAGAGATGCTCACCAATAAGAATGTGTATGCTAGCTCCAATAACAATATCGTGTTCATCTTTGTTTAAATTCCTCTATTATTTCAATTCTATTGTAATACCTTGTTCCCTCTGGGTCCTGGTTTGCCGTTTCGTCCATCTGATCCCCGGTTGCCCTTTAAAGAGGTTCAGATATTAGTGACTGTGGCTGAGCATCAATATCCACACCAACAAGACTGCCTTGCTTTGTCTATCTTTGTATGCTGTACTGATTTTTATCCTTAAAATGGATGAAATGGGTCCAAATTAGAAAGCAGGGGTGCCCTGGTACCTCATGTGGTAGAGCTGGTGCACAAAGTACCAAAGGCTAAGTCCTTGCTGCAGCGGTCATGGGTTCGAGTCTGACTTATGGCCCTTTGCTGCGTGTCATCCCCTTGTCTGTGATGTGTATTTTAATGTTGAATTCACAAAAATATTTAATAATGAGTAAAGAGTTATCATATCAGAAATGTGTAAATCCCAAAATGTGTATTACTTAGATTTACTTATTAGTAGAGATCATCATCATTAAAGTCAAAGTTTGCAAATACACATTTCACTGACACTACGCTCCCTCGCCAGCAGATGTTGCTGTAAGGACTGCAACGGTGAATAACCATGCTGCAGAGTGTGGCATATAAATATAGTAGGGATCTACAGTACAATCCCTCAAAATGGATAATAAAAAATGTGTATGTGTTTCTGCCTTTATTTGACAATGAAAATGCAGACAGAAAACCAGGGGAGAGAGAGAGGCTCGACATGTAACGCAGGTCCCCAGCTAAACTATAACTGGGGACGTTGCGCTGTAAGGACGCTCCATGACAACATGTCATCCATGAATTGCTAAAAACTGTTTGGAGGCAGACACCTGTCATCCCTGGAGTCACTTGTCTGACTGTAAGTTGTGGATTCGTTTTTAACCATCAAAATCTCTCTAAGATTTGACCTCTGACCATCAGACAACAAAATATAACTTAAACGTTTTATTTTTCAACGACTGATTCAACTTTTAGTAGAGGACTGAAAGTGACTCTAGCTGTGATGAGTCATATGATTCACTTTGACTTGCATGCTGCACGAAAAGGCCTTTATTACTTATTGCTTTCTTAAAACAATAAATATTTGTGTGGAATGACCAAGTGCAGAGACAATCAGGAGTGTGTTAAATTCATGCAGTAATTCACTTCACAATATTAAGTTGTTAAATGTACATGCAGGAGGCCACTGGAAGCTCTAATGTTTCACAGTTAAAGTGGCACTTGGATCAACACATGAAGTCATCTGACATTTCAGACGCACAAATCATCACTGACCTTTAACCCACGGCTGCCCTGTTTTCCCTGAGGGCCAGTTTCTCCATTTGTGCCCTGAATGAAGAAATATAAAAATCAGTCAAGCACACCTCCTTTTTCACCTTCACTTGCAGCTTCTTTCTCCTGGTTAAAAGAGCATGTGATACAATATTACGCTGCAAATGCTGTACTACAGTTTAGGTATATATATAACAACTAAAACAAGTGGCATGTTATCTAAAAAACAAGCTTTACCTTTAGGTTACGTATATTTATTTATAAATATTGTCACCTATATTAGGATAATACTTTAAAAATGATGAATTTTCTTGAAAAAAAGGATCAATTTTTTACCTTTAAAAATTGCTAAGCTTGACAAAACATCATCCACTGAGCTCATTCATTCATGACCTATTTGTCATAAAACCTCCATTGAACACAGCTATTAATGTCGATCAATGTTACAAAAAAGATGACGGCTATCACAGTGCTGTACACTGTACCTCAGTGCCTGTGGGACCAGGCTGGCCCTTGGTGCCTGGGAAACCTAGGAAGCCGGTGGGGCCCCTCTCTCCCTGAGGACCCCTAATACCTGCTGCCCCATGAATACCCTGAGATAAAAACAGAAGCATTTTTTTATTATGAAAAGGCACAGAAACCTTTCTGAATCACACAGTGCATGAGAAGTTAAAGGAATAGTTTTGCATTTTGGGAAAGATGCTTTGTTGTACTCTTGTAGTCACCATGAGGTTGCAGGGCAACTAGCAGAGACTCCAGACGGTGATTGTGCCCGGTCAAGAAATAGTCCTGCGCATAACTCCTGTAAAACCACACTGCCACATGCAAGAACCAAATGTACGAACATATTTGTTCTTAAGTGATTAGAGAGAAATTCAGACATACTAACAATATCATGAGTGGTCCAGACATGCTGTATGAATCACATACAGCTTGTCCTCCACAGGGCAAAATCACTGAAATCATGATGCCTTGTAATTTAATTATGATACCAATATAAGTAAACTAAAGGCAAACTTAAAATTCATAAATTAATATTCTGTTCACAAGATCATCATCAGAATCAGGTTTATTGCCAAGCAGGTTTTCACATACAAGGAATTTGTCTTTGCCTTCGTGTGCCATCATCATGGCTGCCAATTTACTGAGCAACTTCTACGTTTCAGTGGTTGTTAGGCAAATTCTCTTCAGTCAGCTGCCTCAGAGTCTGTATGCAGGTCTTTGTTCAGTCTGATCTTTTGCACCTGACAAACATAATCTACTATAGGCTATAATATCATCCCATCTTGCATCTCCGTCACATGACTGCCTCTCATATTAGTCATGGACCACTGTGCTCTAAAAACACTAATCTAACTTCATGTAAAATCGCTCCCTCTGTGTATGTGTCAAAGCAGCGCTGCTCTGATGACATGCGTTTGGAGCTGTTGTACTAATATTTTCTAATTGTTTTGGGTCTTCTGATATCACTACTGACACTGCTACATTTGGGACTTGAGACTGCGGTGGGAAATTCTTCTTTTTACTCTTTGGTAACATTTATGAGAATGAAACTTTCCCCACAGACAGAGCAAAACAGGCAGCCATATATGGCAGTTACAAGTGTTGATTATGCTAATGATGAAAGCTCACAAATATGCACTCCCTCATGAACAGATGACACTGATCAGACTCAAACGAGTGATTCACAAGTTCATGCAGCTAAGAGTTTGGTGAATCTGACTTAGAACACTCGCAAACCTCAGAGTAAGAGAGGTTTATAATAAGTATACGAAGCTGTCTTTTAAGAAAGTGTCTTTTACACTTCAGTTTTGTATGGATTAAACAAGTAAGAGAAAAAATGTTGATTAGTGGGCTTTAGAGGTGCAGGTAGGTGGACTTTGTTAACTGTGGACAGAGGCAGGTTAGCTGTTTCCCCATTTCCAGTCTTTGTGGTAAGCTAACCTAACCGGCTGCTGGCTGTAACTTCATACCGTCATTCCCGTACAAACATGTCACTGGTATTGATCTCCTCATCTAACTCTCGAAAATAAAGTGAATAAGCATATTTCCAAAAATGCTGAACTATTCCTTTAAAGTAGCTCTCTGACATTGCATCATTCTCTTCTGTTAGTGTTATTAATTGGAAAGTTGCCGGTTCTTACTTTGTCCCCTTTAGGCCCTGGATCTCCCTTGTCCCCATCTGGTCCTCTTATACCCTGTGAAGAATAGAAATGGTCAAAGTGAGGTGCAGCAAATAATGTTTTGCTTTAAATATGTTTGTAAATCTATCAAAAGCACCTACCAGTATCCCAGGAAAACCCATAGGACCCTGTCCCCCTGGTGAACCCTGTAAATAATCCCAAAAAGTATGACGATGGATTAAGTACTTCAGGATTTTAGAAACAATATTCAACGTGTAGACAAGTGAAATGATCACATTCCATATGAAATCATTTAAAAGATATATAAAAGATCAAATGGCTAGTAAAGATGTTATTTTGAAAGATGTCTAAGGGAATAAATAATAAATGTGTGGAATGAGTTACACTACAGTAAAGCGGTGTCTGGCAGCATCATGTCCAGCAGCATGATCCAACCAGCAGATGGCACTGTGAGGCTTCAATATGCTATCTACTAACAGAGTGCTTGTAGAGATCAATCAGCAAATATATTTACAGTGTATCAGTGTGAACTGTAAGGTCTGTTCTGCTTTGGTGACAAAAGTTGCAGAATCATCCACCAAACCCTGCAGACAACTGGGACGGAAACTCTTACATACGTACATCTCATCTCTCCATGCAATGTCTGTACCGATGTGTGTTTGACTGTAATGCAATGATGTAATACCCTGCCGAATATGTCCAAGTGCAACTCACCATGGGGCCCTCAAAGCCGGGATCCCCTCGGGCACCCATAGGCCCCACAGGCCCCTAATACGAACACAAAAAGAGACAACTCAGAAGAGAAAACAAGAAGAAGATACTGTATTGTCTGTTCTTAGATAGTAAGACGGATCAGCTGCCTTTACATGTTGCTTCATTACTTTGGATTTCTCATTCTGCATGTCAACCAACATACAACTTGGCCTAAACCAGTGGTTCTCAAACCTTTGAAAATGACCAACCAAATGAGCCTGAGTGAATATTATACTATTATAACTATTATTCATATTAAGAAGTTAAACATTATTTGAGCAGCAACAAAGAAACTCTTTCACTACAATGACCCTGAACTTGATAGACTTTATGTTTTCTAGATTTTTTTTCCCTTGTCAAAAATCCTAAATTTCCTTTTGCTGTCTAAATAAATCTTTGCTAACCCAACAGTCACTAGCATGAAATGCATAATTTGCGTTGTTTATTGTTTCCACATGAAGATTCATTGAACCTTAGTTCCACTTCACATTTTACACACTAAAAAAATAATGAGCCATGAAGTTCATTCATTATAAAATACTCATACTAATTAAATGGATTAAATACATCTGTCATAGTATCAGTATTAAGGATATGATTGTATGACTTATACTGTGTGCAGTTCTGTTCCAATTCTATCAAGAAGAAAAAAAAGAGAACAAATTGTACTTGATGAGAACAAACTTACAGGATCTCCTTTAGGTCCAGGAGCACCCACCAGTCCTGGATGTCCCTGTTAAGAAGCACAGATTGAACGTTTTATTTTATTTATTATTATTTTTATTGTATTTGTATGTTTTTGTACAACTACTGCCCCTTCCAATAAAATATTGTTTAAAAAACGCACAGATTGACTTTAACCTCCTGCACTTTACCAGCTGCAAAGTGAATGAATCAGCACCCCAACGAGTAAAAAAAAAAAACTGTGTTGAACTGTACTCACTTGGGGTCCTCTGAGTCCTGGAGGTCCCATCTGTCCCTCTAAACCTGGAGGGCCCTAGTGGAAAGAAAAAGGAAGGGAACACATTTTAAACCAAACACAGTGTCTAAACATTTCCAGCAAGTCGAATAACTGCAGCATTTATAATCAAACAAAATGTATACCTGCGGGCCTATGGGACCGACACTGCCAGCAGGTCCCATGTCCCCCTGGAAGAAACAATAAACAATTTACACGCGCAGGAAGTAACCTGAAAACTAAGTCTGGATGCTTAGTTTGACATCATCTCTCTCTTCCAAACTGGTTCTGGCTTCTGAAATGTGAGAATAAGCTGCCTTTCTCTGTTTTATAGCTCTATAAACTGAATATCATTGGGGTTTTGGAGTGTTGGCTGGACAAAACAAAGAAATTGGGGATGTCACCTTGGGCTCTGGAAGTTTTGAGGACAGTTTTCACTATTTCTCAACATTTAACAGTCTAAAAAAAGTAAATGATTAGTAATCAGTCACAGCCCTTGGGGGAAACCACCTTTAACTTGCATATTACTGAGTTCTAATAAATTCTTGTTGTGGCATAATCTTACCCTTGAGCCATTAACTCCTTGAGCGCCGACTCGTCCTGTAAAACCCGGTGCGCCCTGTGACACACACACACACACCAACAATTCATACATTTATTCGCTAACACACAACATATTTTTTCATCTAAGCTGTCTGTCCACTTACCTGCAGCCCTGGCAGACCTGGGGGGCCATCCGGCCCACTGTCTCCCTGGTAACAACAAGTTCACAACAACACAAATTACACACTGTTCATCAGTTCAGAGTCTCTCACATTGAATGTAAGTATATGATTACTTTAAAGGAATGATTCACCCAAAATAGTAAATAATCCAACAGTAATCACTCACCCCTGATTTAGTCTATTAACTTTGTAAAAGGCACTGGTTACAGTGTCAAAAAATGCTTACTGAAAGCATACTGTAACAAGCTCCAGCACCTTAGATAAAAGATTTAAAGAAAATAGTCGGATGTCTAACAGATTTCCCCAAAATGTTAATGCTATAGGTCTTCTATGCCAAATGATGACAAAACCTTTATATTTACTTTGTTTTCTCCTGTATTTTCTTAAACATGGGCTTTAAAACAAGTAGAAAGCAAAAAGAAGCCGAGCTCAATAGTTTGGAATGGGGCCGACGTATAAATACAGGAGCTAATTTATTGTTTGGAATGTTCCTTGCTTGTTTCACTTGTTATGGGATGATTATTTCATGAATTCATTTGTTGTTGGACTAATACTTTAAATATCACCAAATGACAATATATTGTAAAGCAGTAGAGAAGAATGTGAAAGACATCATAACCAAACAGAAGACAAAACAAGTAAAAAAACTCGACTACTTTGCTTTCGAAAAGCTTATGAACAACTTCTCGAGCAACTAGAGTCGGACGGGACATCACTCACATCAGGCCCACGGGGCCCCTCTGGCCCGTAGCCACCTCGGATCCCCTGAGGCCCCTGCAGAGAAGATTCCGGTATTCAGTGTCAACTTAATAACAAGTTATCATTAAAATGCATAGAAAACACCGTATTCAAAGGGAGGATTAATCAGACAGATTACGTCCTACTGGTCAGAGTGCCTGTGCTAATACTATGAGGCAGAGATTCTGATTTCATGCCAAGTAGAATCAAAGCAAACCCGAGAATAGAGCAAAGAGAAAATTGGAGTCAGCTCCTTGCTGCTTGGAACTCAAAGTTCAAAGAGGTATTGGATTAAGGATTAAAAAGGATTCAGAAGCGCATGTCTTTCTTTCACAAAAGCTGATTGTTTGTTTTGTTCCTCTCATTTTGCATCAGTTGGATGTGTAAGAAATGTATTACATGAGGACAGCTGTTACTAATTTTTTTAAATTGATCCTGTAATGTGCTGGCATCCTGTCCAGCTGATTGTACAGTACATGACATTTTGTATAGAACAATGTATAAGCAGCTTCATGTCACAGATAAAGGAGAAATGCTACTGGCTTATGAACCACCTACTTTCTCTCAAAGGGTTATGAATATAACATAAAATCCCTGCAGAAATTCCTCGTTTGTTGCACTCATAAAAGAACTAAACAAGGAGGGTAGAAGACACTCACTGGTGGTCCGACAAGGCCAGGTCTGCCAGGTGCACCAGTTGAGCCCTAGACAAAGAAAAAACACAGTCCAAGATCATTACACTATATTGTATTGTCTTCATACCTCATGAAAACAAGCCACTAAGGGCCAGAATTCTTTCATTAGTGTTGTGCAGCGTTGTGTGTAAGTCATGTAAGAAAAAAGCTTTCTGCTGGGACAAATTCACATTCTATTTTAAATAATTAGGATTGTTGATAATTAAATTGCACCCATGAGTACCTTCTCACCAGGGTCGCCAATTTCCCCTCTTGGACCCTTGAGGCCAATGAGACCCTGGAAAGGTAGAGAAAAAACCCTGTTATCTACAGTGTAAAAGTCATTTCTTTCTTGTATCTTGTTTTATCCTGCATTAGTATCAAATGTGGACTTGAAACAGCTATAATCAATATTTTTATAATAAGTAATAAAAAGTTAGCAACTAGCTGTGAACATATAATAGCTTTTAAAGAGTCAGATTTTTCCCTCAGGAGTTTCCGGAGACCAAAAACAGAGCTTAAAGAAGAGGGACTGTGGGACGTAGTGTTACATTCGCCAGGTGGTCAGAAACAAGACTTTAAATAAATGCTAATGTGGCTGTGTAGAAGCTGAATGTGTAAATAGGCAACTATATTAACTATATCAACTTAAAAGGTGGTGATATGTCACACTTAAATTTAAATAAACAAACAAAGAATGGGTTATTACAGGTTTAAATGATGCTCCTAACTCAGCAGCTCAGTCAGGAATAAACCTAAATACATTTATACCAAAATCAATTGTTTTCTCTTATTCATTGATCAGATCCTGATTTACATCAAATAATTTCACAATTAGACTTTTTTATTTGGGTAGTTAGAGTATGGCTGCTTGTGTATTGACAATATACAAAATTGTGAAATGAAAAAAAGGGTTTTTGTAGAATAACACATTAATAGTCATTTTGGTATCTGTACCAAAACCCAAGTACTGTATTGGCACTGGTACCAAGTAAAACTGCTGAATTGTTAAAATAAGGCAAAACGATAGCAGTCATGAGCTGCGCACAGTAACCATTCCTTCATGGCTGTAATTTCACCAACAGTAAATCTAAAATATAAACAGGACTGACGGGCTTCCCGTACAAACACAGCTGTGCCGTTCCATTCCTCACCTCATCACCTTTCTCCCCTTTGGACCCTCGTTCTCCCCTGTATCCCCACAGGCCCTGACATCAATTAGAGACAAGATGAAAATATTACAACCATAAAGAACACATACTATAACGTTTACCTACTGTAACACACTCATGCTGTATGTGTAGTACGTGCGTGCTGTTTAATGGGTTATTATACAGATTGTGCCCACCTGTGATCCAGGAGCACCAGGTGACCCAGGCTGACCATCTTCTCCATTTTCCCCATCTCTCCCTGGGGCCCCATCTCGTCCTGGAGGGCCCCTGTGACCCCGCTCACCCTATCATACAACATATATCATCACCACTGTTGATACTGACAGCTTCTTTATCAGCCTGTTAGTGAACAGTTATGACATTTTCATGAGACATGTGAAGACAACATGAACCAAAAAGTGACAAAGTGGGACAAAATAAATCTGAAATCAAAGACACTGGAAATACAGAGAGTGAAATCCCATTACGCTAAAGCCGCATGGAGCTTCTCACTGGGAAAACTGGATTATAAATTACAAGTTTGTACTGTGAAGACAGTGACCCTCTCCACCACTCAGCAGCGCAATTCATCACACAGACAAGGCATCAACTGTAAAACAACACACTGTCTAGAAGATGTTGGCCTGCAATAACTCTGCTTGCAGACAGGTGGAAAACATGTACACATTCAGAGTGAATGGCGAAACCACCTGTGCTGGCAGTGGACAATGTTATATTTTAAGTTGCAGAGGATGATGGATATGGTGTTATACATGCGGAGACTGGCATGATGAGTGAGTTAGGTTTTACGTTTTTTCACTTGAGCATTGCACTCTTTTTCAAGAAAACCCTGCTGCACGCTCACAAATGTAGACGCAAACCAGCATTATTTCAAGGGCTTGGTGCCATGTTGGACGAATATGAGTATTATACATCAAATGAAAGCTCTCAGTGCCAAAAAGACACAATTGAAATGATGACCCATAGGTTGTAAATAAAAAGAAAACTGTAAGGCGTAAAAGTAAAAGTGGGGTTTTGTTCAGTGCCAAAAGGGTGCAAGTGAGCGTCAAATGAACCCGGGACACACCCATAAGGACACTCCAAAAGGGTTGACGTACATGCAGTTATACTGTTTATAGAGGTTTTCTAATGTTTTTAACAGGAAAATCAGTATGAGCTGATTTGATACGTTCCTTGTAGAATTCTAAAAGCCTTGGTGGAAGTTGCTGAGCATTACTTCAAGATGAAGATATTTGTTCTTATCTTTTTTTTAGTGTTGACTGCAATGTAATTGTGTGTATCCTGCATCCTGTATCTGCACTGTGCATAGTCTATTGGAAAAATGCTTCTTAAACTATAGCAATATTGTTTTCATAGTGATCCTCAATTTCATAACACAAAAAGATCATTTCATTGTTTTGGCTCTCCTGTAAAATTGTATATAACACACCCAGCCCTCAATTTCCATTAGTAATTTTTTGATTCATCATTTAGTCACTTAAGGTGATGTCCTCACCGTGCTTGTTTTGTCATGCCAACAATCAAAAGTCCCAATATTTTCAACTTGCAATCATATGAAACAGGTAAGGTAAGGTAGCAAATGTTCATATTTGAGAAACTGGAACTAAATGGTTTGGCATTTTTGCAAATCCGGGTATCAAAATGATTAAAATTGTAGTTTAATAGTAATTACATCACTAATCACACCTGGAAGCTGCCTGTACAAATTCAATCTTTTATTTGCAATTCTGGAGCAATCGGGGTTCAGCGTCTTCTACCAGAACACCTCAGTGGTAGTAAAAAGGGAGGGGCAAGTGCTTTTCTTTCATTTTCTGTCTGTCTCCCCCCCACCAAGATTTATCTTGATGGTTCGGGGAATGAATTGGTGACCTCACAATCCAGTGGAACATTGTCTAGACATCTAGACATGTGACCCTAAAAACGTATATACGCATGTCTACGAGTTGTGAACTGCTTGCCAGAGAGTAATTTCTCCCCTTAAATCATTTTCAAGAGGCTAGTGCAGGTAAAATCATGAAGCCTGAAATGTATCTTGTGACCCCTCGTGGGGGGTCCAGAGCCTCAGGTTTGACACCACTTGGTTGGGACCACACAGGCATTACATAACCCTGCACAATTCTTACATGCATACATGTATACAACATGCATACATCAGTGCTGACAGACAATGAGGTGACATTACTGACAAGATGGCCTCTGGTTAATTCTGCACACAGAAATGTGCTTTCATTCATCTGGACTACACAGTGACTCAAACACAAACATACACATGGATCTATATCTGCTACATGGGGTCTAAACACTCCAGACACCAAAGGCTGGTTTCTGGGCGAGTGAGTGTTTCCAACTCTCCCAAACCACACTGTTTGGTCCTCACTACCAACTCATTTCCCAGCTGAGACCTCACACAATATATGACAACAGGCTCACAGTTTCCATATGGTCACAGTGGACTTCCAGGGCACTTGTTTATGTATTTTGAGATGGTTGTTAAGATGGATGTAACACGGTTTAATTTACCTTTTTTAAACTAAGTCAAAAGTTTTAAAATTTAATGTGACTCTGCACCAAATGACAAGAGGGGACAGAATGTGAAACTTATGAAATAACACAAGATAAATTAAGAGAACTGGATGAACTACAACTCGGTATAATCAAATTTAGAAAAAATATGGAACTTCTTAATTTAGCAATAAAAATACTTTCATTGCTTATTCTGTCAGTATGAGAATGGTAACGTCATAGGGAGTTTCATGTGCAGTGGGTTTCCAAACACCCACTCCCTTTAACCACACTCACTCTGCTCCACCAGCTATGGTACTCTTAATTTAACATTCAACCGTAAAACACTGCTGGATCCAGAGGTGGGTCTATTTTAACAGACTCACATTGTATGGACAGCCATTGTCAATCCCACAGAAATTATGTTTTAATAAAAGATTATTTTTGTGGGACTTTTAATTTTACCCAAAGTTTCCAATGACACCATTTATGTCAGATTTTATTAAGGGGAAATTAACATTAAATTATGCCCATATATTGACAACATTTCCATTTGATATGATCTTATTTTGATTAATACATTAAGGGTAAGCATTATTAAACTTCAATTAGTGGGTAGAATATAAACAAATTTAAACATTTTAAGTCATGGACAATAAATTAAAGGAACATATGTTTTTGGCCTGCCTTGTCTCACACATCACATTTACTACAGTTGTTGCAGTTGTTGTTGCTGTTTACTTTTACTGCCTATTATCAGTTCAGCATCCCCGTCCACCCAAGATTAGATTTTCTGGATTTAGAAAGATGGATTTTGGCGCGTGTGAAGCCAAATCTAAAGTTTTGAAACATTTCAGAAACCTATGAGACAAATGACATTGATAACATTACTTCTGAATCTGATGGTTTGGATTCTTACCATCTCTCCTGGCATCCCTGGCTGTCCTCGCTCCCCAGGTTCACCAGGTGGCCCCTGAGTAGGAAGACCAGAAAAAATATGAACCATTCACTAATTCAGAATTAATCAACGTAGAGCGATTACTCCAAATGTTAAGTATTCAGGTTCATCATTTGCATTTATAATTGTGAATGGATCCCATCACTAACCTGTGAGCCGAGCCTGCCCATCTCTCCAGGTGGTCCTTCAGGGCCTTCTTTGCTCTGCAAGCTCACAAAGAAGAAACCAGCCACAGGTTTAGCAGGAACTAACAAATCAACTGAATCCCAGCAAAGACAGGATATTAATTGTCACAGCATACTTACAGGCCAACCAGAAAGAAGTAACTGGTAGAAATTGGTTTGCTACAGAGGGAATGGAAACACACAGCATACATTAAAGATCCAGATAATTACATAGAGTACACGGATGACACCAATCCTTATTTGAATTCCACCGTCTCCATAATCTCTGTAGTTAAAAATCTATTTTTCACTGACTCTCATGTGACTGACCTTTGCAGGTTGTCCACATAAAGTTCAAAGCAAATACAGTAACAAATGGCCCTCACAAACTGCTAGCAGACTTTTATTTCCGTCATCTTTTTTCAATACCGAACTTGCTGTTCTCCATCATGCTGACATACTGATGTGTGTATTCTACAACATACAGCTGTGGCCATTGCAGAGCGATTAAACAGATGAGGACAGAGCATCAGCTTGCACGCACCATAACTGCAGGGTCAAAGTTTTACAGATATTCTGGGGAACTTATGGCTCTAGGTAAGGTGGCTGAGCCTCAGAGAACATTTGATGTTCACAGTGTCTTTTAGGACAATGAATTACTCAAGGAGAGGAGAGTAAGGAAAAGTCTCTCTGGGGACTTGAATTGGAAAGATGTTCTAGGCAATGTGCTAGTTTATGGGATTTAGATGAAAAGATAGATACAGGTATCAGTTTCATCTCTCTGCATTCAGTAGTGAGATCAGTCCAGGAGCCTAGCTTAGCATTAAAGTCACAGGCATAGGTGATGTTAGCCTCCTTCAATAGAGGGGAAAACATCGTCTAACAATTGCAAAATTGTCTTTTTTTAAAGCATGTTAGCCACCAATATGAGAAACAGTCTGGTTTTGTTCATAAATGTAACTTCTCTCTATGAAGAGAGGACTTCTGAGATGTTATGTGCGGACTCACGTGCACACTTGTTGTTGGTATATAAGAATTCCAAGGGGTACGCTAACTGCTTGCTAAATAATAATATCTCATTTTATGTGTTTAATATACAAGAAACATGTAAAAATGAGGACAGGCAGGAAACTGGGGTGAGGGAGAGAGAGAGAGAGGGAGAGGGAGAGAGGGAATGACCTGCAGCAAAAGGCCGCAGTTTGGATTCAAACCAGGGCGGCTGCAGTGGACTTAGTACATGGGCATAACCTACATATACACCACAGGTCTGGCTGAATCTTTGTCAGTGAGAACATAAAAGGTCTGCATCTAAAAGATGCTGTACTTCTGAACCCGAAAACCAAAATAAAACAAAATTAAAGCAGTAAAAATGCAGCCTTGCTTTAAGGTAAATGTTCATCACGACATTGCTAACATGTTGACGTTGCTGTAACACAGTATATCTGATGCTGATGGAAATGTCATTAGTTTTGCAGGTAGGCCCTTTAGTCATGAACCAAAGTATTGGACAAATTCTAATTTGGTCTTGACGACGGCACTAGTTGCAAAAAGGTGGCCAACTAACAATGACATTACCTTCCCTAGAACTACAAAACCCTTATTTAATGAATTAACTAAAACTAGATAAGACTAATATTGTTAAATTGTAAAATATTATGGAGGTACAAGTGAAAGAGCATCAGGTTTAGGACAGAAGCTTTGGACCACATTTTAGCCAAAATGTCTTGCTGGTGGCATAGTTATTGTTAGACGTTTCTTCGGAAAGTGGGGTTGAGTTCAGGAGACAGTTTACAAGGGGGTGGACCAGACTGCCTGTCTAGAAACATTTTACCTAAATGGTAACACTAGCTGGGGTTCATTCAAACCATAAAAAGTTTTTGCTTGACTTCATTTTTGGGCTCAAATTATGAAAGGAGACTGACTACACAGTGAGAAAATGTGTTTAAGGAGAAGGAAACTGATCATTGTACTGTAAATACTGTACTAAATAAAAGAAAGAGTACATTGTGGTTACAATCTTACCTGAAAGGCAGCCCACTCCTCTGCTGTGTTCTTCCACAGGTAGAGGGTTGGTAGACCTGCTGGTCCAGGAGGTCCTGGCACCCCCCTTTTTCCTGTACTTCCTTCAGGCCCCATCTTACCCTGTGAGAAATGAAAAGGAAGTAGTACATTTATGCAAGACAAATCAATTTATATGGAATACGTAGTATCACAGCACAGCCTTGTTTTCAAAATTACATCACAGAAGTGATTTGATGCAGGATTGGGGCTCTGGCATAAATGGCATCCACATGGACTTAATGGAGGAAGGGACAGAAGTTAACAGCAGAAGCTTTAAAAATGCTGAAGATGAAAAAGAGCTATAGCCTCGGATGCTATCTAAGAGCTGCACAGAACAGTGGTGCACTAAAATCCTGAAGAGTCAAGTGGACTAACTCAACATCATAGGCTATTATGTCGTAAACAAGGTACTCTTACCTTATCACCTTTAAACCCAGGCAGGCCAGGCTCACCAGGACAGCCCTGTGAAAACAGTAACAACCCTCAATATAACCGCTCATAAGACAAAAACACTACGAGGAAAAAGCACCATCCAAGATACAAAATAGTATTTATCAATTACTTTTTTTGACAATTAATCTACAATATTTACAATTTAAGACACAACTACTCCTTATTAGCAAAAACCTGTGACCTAAGAGACAAGCAAAGTACCAGGTCCTTGTAAAACCTCCCACTTTGTTATTTGACTGCCTGCTGAAAAGCAAAAGACTCAATTTAAGGTCTTGCTCCCAACACCTTGAATGCAAATAAAATACTGTAACATTTTATGGCTTAAAGGGTATTGGGATATACAGTAATTGTATGTTTAGGTTGGTTGGAACTGTGTAGATCCTGCATGCACTGTGTACTTTAAAAGAAAACCACAGCATTTCATCTGTTGAGTCCATTATGTTCTACATCAGGACACCTTGGGGCATACTATTGCACTTCTGCAACAGCCATCAGCGGAATACAGGAAAACCTGTGTTGAAGTCATAATTCATTTTCCATTGTTTGTTTGCTGTCAGTTTAACTCATGGTTAGATCCGTTTCCTAAAGCAGACGTAAGGATGCTATTGTTAGCCGAAATGTAACACACCTTTCACTCTGATTCAAAACAAGTGATTGCTTGAGGCGCCTCGTTATACCATTTTAATGCACCTGCCATCCATCAGCCAAGCCATAGTACCATATTTTGTACTTCCGTAAACACATATTTTATAAAACATTAAGTTTGACACAATGCTTGTAGAGGCTAATGCTACAGGCTAACGAATATGCTAGAGAAAGACAGTATTAAGCCAACAGGCCGCTTCCTTCATGTTCCCCACAGCCGTCTTCAATCACAGTAATGGTGCTGAGTGATCCTGTGGATTTTATGGCAGCGTGACTCCAGAGACCGGCCCAGACGTGACCAGATGTGCAGTCTGGTTCTGGATCTGTCTGCCCTGCAGTCCCTATGCTGAACCACCTTTTGCACCAGGTAAACCTTCCGACTGGATAGTACGAAAGGACTTTACTCCTTGGCAACAATCTGATGACTTGGCAGCCGGAGCTGATTGTTACATTGAGTAACGCTATGACAAACTCCTTACCCGTGCATTTCCCTTAGTGCTCAGATCGCAGCATCAAAGACACTTGGATCAACGTATGTTTGAGCAGTGTAACCTTCCCTGATCAGATTCAGATGGCAGCTGATTGAGAACAGCTCTTGTAAGCTGTAAAGCATAAACAGATATCACACTTTCTTCATTCACGGGCTTGTCCTAACTTTTTTATCTTATCTGACAACACTACTCTAATATGAAACATTAAATGTACTGTTAAATCAGTGGGAAACCAGCCTTGAGCCTGGTAATCAATATCCAGAAAACCATAATAATATAAACTACAAAATAACAAACTACTAAAACCAATATTTTTTCATTGAATAGTTCACATCAGGCAGAGCAACCTCAAGAGGAGTTCTGGCTATTTTTTTGCTGTCGTTTGAAAAAACATTTGTTTATTACACTTGAATAGCATTAAAAGAAAGATATTAAAGCAACAATAAGACCATAAGACCACTCACTTCCTGCCCTGGGGGACCCATTCGGCCTGGTGGCCCTCTCTGGAGCCTGTACTTTTTGCCATCTGAGCCCAGGACCAGGTCTTTGTCTCTGGAAACAATGGTCACAATGCCAGGGCGCTCCTTGTCTAGTTGTTTTCCATTGTGCTCAGCTCTGTGATCGGTGGTGATGGGTCTCTCATCCTCAACTACTGCCTTTGCAGATGGACCATAGATAATGACATGAGGTGTAGGTGAAACAGACTTAGACCTTTCATCTGTCTCCTCCCTTAATTTGTTTGAGTCTGTGGATGTTCTGGGATCTGAAGGGATCTTCGGAAGTACAGGAAATCCCACCAAGGGCTTCTTGGTAGCACTCCCCGTGTCCAGATCAATGATGTCATCGGATGGTTTTCCAGGGAAAAGCGATGAAGTCCTCCCACCGGAGTCTGCCTTTTTGTCTGTGGTAATGTTCTCCTCCAATAGTTTTGACGAGAGTTCAGGTTTTCCCTTCTGGTTTCCCTTAAATCCATTTCTGGAGGGTTTCCACTGAGGGTTGACTTGTCCGCCATTTTGGAAGATTGGATCCAACAAGTCTGTGTCCTCGTCCACCACGAAGACATCCCCACGACCTACCGAACCTTTGGACCGATTGGATCCTGAAGGTACCGTCCCGTCCCCTCGAGAACTCCCTCGTCGTAGAAACATATTCTGTTGAGAAACAAAACAAGAATTAGCGCTCATTTGAGAACAGATCTTTCACTGTTTTATTTAAGTGGTTTTCTGGTTTATGTCATGTTTTGACGTCAATAGCTAGACGGGGTACAGATGTCTTATTGCGTAGTAAAGTCAGTCTGGGGGGAAATAAAGATTACTCACAAAAATGTCAACTTATTCCACTCTGTAATTTGCTATCACTACACTCAGAAAAACCAATGGTAAATGAATAGTACTAGATTGAGAATACAAACCTGCAGATTAGTGAAGCACAAATCAGAAAGAATCTGTAATCCACAGCACACCAAATCACTACTCAGAATAAGGAAGACCTTATGCCTTTTACTGCCAAAGAATGAAAAGTCATTATGCCAACAATAAAACTGGATGTTATAATGTCACAAGAAAACTTGTCTCCTAAAACTTTCAAAAAAACCAAACAAAAACAAATGTCGACCTTCTTCCCCTCTTGAAAACTGTCATCAACTCTTCGCTGACATCTGGTACGATTTCGTCTGCCTTCAAGACGATCAGTTTCTCATCTTCTCAAGACATTTACTCTTGACCCGTCTTCAATAAAAATCTGCAGATTACAACTGATTTCTTTCCAAAACACTTGCTGTCTCTAATTAACATTTCCGTGGTTCGGAGTTGCCTGTTGGGGCCAAACCACTATAAATGTGTTTACTGTTAGCATATAAACTGTCCACACTGCTGGAGCCTCTACTGGATCTTTGACCTTTACTATGGGAGGTCAGGTATCACATCTACAATTGTAATTCTGTTACTTCTTAGGTCCCAGGCTCCTCCGATGCAACACCTGTCTTTGACTCTTCTACATCTCGTCTCCCCTCGGGTGAAAGGAACTTCCCTCAGTTTCTGTCATAGGAATAAAACTGACTTATGATAAAACTATCCTATAATTATTCTCACTGTAAATCAGTTTGGTTAAGAACATCAGTGGTCAAAATGTAAACCTATTATTACTGACTCATGAAGTCTCAGCCACTTAAAAAAATCTTTCAAAACAAACACAGCAGTTTAAAGTTATGTGGTATTCAGAGGTGACAGGAAAAGCACTCAAAAATCAACATGCAAAACACCGTGACATTTTCCTTTGCTTGTCATATTGTATTACATACTCACCTCTCTCACACACACACACACACACACACACGTCAGAATGTTGGGCCTCAGGGAACAGTGGCGCAGTAAGAGAGGCCTTTCAGGGGATGGGACCAAAGGGCTGTAAATTTTGTTTGATGACCCTAATGGGCTGAAATGGAGAACACTAAAGTGGAGCTTAGAGGCATATGGGGAGCAGGAGGAGGAGAGGGAAGCAGGAGTATGCACGCTCAGAGAGTTTTTTCTTAGTTGTACCTTTTAGAATACAGCTTATACAGATGAAGTATGGTCGGATGCACACTGTGCAGCGTCTGCACGGTCATAGTCATAACATAACAATTAGCATGCAGGAGTTACTGCTAAGGTACCTTTAGGTCAAGGCTAACAATGACAATGTGTTACTTTTAACAACTGTTTACTTGTGTGGTTTTAAAAGAATTGTCTGGACAACTGTTGGATGGACATGAAATGTGTCTAGTCTAGATCTAGTGCTATCACTGAAAAAATTTCAGATTTATCCAGGACTTTGGTTTATGAGCAAATATTTGGCAAAAAATATGACATTCCCATCAGCCTAAGCTGAACCATTGTTTATTGCCAATTATTAATCTTTACATGCAGACCTAAGATGGTTAACATGCTAAACATTATACCTGCTAAACATCAGCATGTTATTTTGTCATTGTGAGCAGGTTAGCGTTCAGCTCAAAGCCATAGGAACAGTGGTGCTTCGAGATAAATGCTATCAGCCTCACAGAGCTGTTAGGGTGGCTGTGGGCTCTTAATCTTGTTTTATTAGATTGTACACAAAAGGTGGAAAGAGAGAAACTGAAGTGTGTGTCCTGATCCTGGTACAATGATGTTATCTGATAGCTTAGCGTTTTTTTTGGCATTTTACTTTAATTGGATAGTGACAGTAAAGAGTGAAAGGAAAGGGGGAGAGGGGATGAAATGAAGAAAACGGTAAGGACTCTACCCAGTGAGCCAAGGTGACCCACAAAAAAAAAACAAAAACAGATTTTTAATGGGTAGAGTAAAGGTATGCATTTGCCCAGCAACAACTGTATTTGTATCTGTGTGGCACTGAGGTGATTTTGAATTAGTATTTAGGGTATTGTATTCTAATATGTGCCAAGAACTACTCTTTAGACCATCACACCAAAAACAATCTGTGCTTTGGACAGAAGACAGCAGGCAACGGTTCATGCTGTTTACTTTACCACCAATGTTTGAGAGCTAAACAAATTTTAGGTATCAAATGAAGAATAAAGTGGTACCATACACATTTTTTGAATTAGTACAATTATTATAGATGGGGGTCTCAGGTTTCCCATTTGGTTACAGGCATTTGTAAAGGCCAAATACAAATGAGCATGCTGTGATTGCATTATCAGAAAGAATGATATGCCCAAATGTTACTCATAAATTATCAGCTGAACCTGGCTTTCATGCATAACATCTGAAATATTAGAACAGTCCGTCCTAATACTGTATCTTCAGTGAAACCCAGACCTTGGGGGAAGGTTGACTGGGTATAAAAAGGTCCAGTGAAGGGCTGAGATAGGCAAGAGACCAAACACGGTGCCCCAGCTGAAAACAAAGGCCCTTTCTCTCTCTCCTATCCCAGACCACAGTCAGGCAGTCAGCCCTGGTTGATAAGCTGACACTAGATCTCCTCTGGTCAACACCGTCCCCTCAGCTTATCTCCCCACCAGTCTGTGACATATCTCTATGAATGCCAGCCCAGGACATAGTAGTTGGAGTACTATGACGTGTTGGCCAGTCAGTCAGGAGCCAATAGCTGTCAAACACTCTTGACAAAACAAAGACCAAGAAATGAAATATCCCAGTATGATATTATATGTTAGGGAAAACTTCTTGTTCATTGTGTGTGTTGCAGTATGTGTATTTAACCCCAATGTACTTCTCAGGGGTTAAAAATGGAAAAGTCAACTTACAGCACTGGCGAGCTTATGAAGCTAGCTATATAATGTCTTCTGTGGGTCTGGAGAGAGCTTTCTGAAGTGAAGGAAAATGGAAAATGGACAGCACTTATAAAGCATTTCTCTACCTTAGTGGACAAAGTGCTTTACAATTTGCCTTTCGTTCAACCATTCACACACGCCAATGGTTGGAGGAGTTTGGGGTTCATTGTCGAACCTCCAGCTAGCTAGCTACAGTCGTGTGCGTAGACTCCATTACTATGCTGTAATCCCCGAACACAAATTCAAATCAATTTGAAGGACGTTGGAGGATGTAACCTGACAAGGCAGCAGGACGAAGATAGAAAACTACAAGATTACATGCCGTGACATCTTGCCAGGCTTCTTTCTCTGTTTGTGGCTGGTGCAGTGGTACTGGAGCAATCAGCTTCCTTTGAGTAAGTACTGGCAGCTACAGGGGTGTGCTGTGGTGTCCTGTGACGCAGCAAGGAGACACTGTCCGTTAAACAACAATGGCAGCTACCATAGAGGTTAGCATAGATGTTGCCACCATCGGTTACATCCACTTTAAAATTAAACAACTTCAAAGATACAGGGTAGACCCTGCATAGCATGCATCTGAGTAGTTATCTTGTCAAACAAACCTCTAATAATCTCAGTAACTATTTGTATCACATGCCACATCTCGCTGTCTTTCTGTCGGCTCTGTAGTAGCAGGCTGAAGCAAGCAAGAACACTGTGCCTATCTAATGTGTTTGTTCATGCCTTTGTATCCTAACAACACAGTGAGCGGAGGCACCGTGCGAGTTTTGGCCCACCCAATCTAATCTATAGGTGAACAATGACAGTCAGGGTATCGAGTGGTTTAGTCTGTGTCAGTATGCATGGCTGCAGGCTGATAAACAGACAGAGCAATTCTGCAGGCTCCCATAATGCTCCTGTCACAGTAACTCATTTTTTTCTTACTTCAGTTCAAAGCTTTTATGGTCATGTGTATGTGCTTTATCCGTTTTCAAACCCTCAGGCCCCTGAAACCCAATTTATAAAATGGTATGTATAATGGAAAACTGCCCTCTACCTAATGTATATTAAGTACACCATATGGCCAAAATAATGCAGACACCCTGTCCACATACTTCTGCATAATTTTTATCCTTAGCCGATTTTCATGGTTTGGGTTCCTTGGTTCCAATGAGGGGAAATCTTAATGCTACATTATAAAATGATATTTGAGACAACAAAAGGTGCTTCCATCATTGTAGCAAACGTTTGTGTTTGACCCTTTCATGATTCAATATGACAATGGCGCTGTTCACAAAGACCATAAAGAAATGGTTTTCCCAGTTTGCTGTGGGAGAATTGACATGATCTGAATACAGCCCTGACCTCAACCCCATCCACCTTTGGGATGAACTAGAACATAACCCAATACATCAGGATTGGACCTTACTAATGCCCATGTTTGACAATCACATGTAGGTATAATTCTAGGGTGGCCATGTAGTGTAGTTCTTCAACAGTGCTATTTTGGTCTAAACATTGCTAGTCATTTGACATGTGGTTGTAAAAGAAGGAGATGTTCAAACAGTAGCCATTTGTGTTGAAATGATTAGTCAATTCATTTATTAGTTGATAGACATAATTAAATGTGAGCAGTCTGGTAATTTAAGTGTTTCAGTCTTTATAAACATTTGCATTTCAAATGTAACTATTTAACATCTTTTGAGAATGTTTGTTGGACAGAAAAAGCAATTTGAAGACATCCCTTTTGGAAACTTTTGCAGACTCAATCACTATTAATGATTGATTAATAATCATTTAGTTGCCGTGATCTGACGATACATTGGGTAAATTTGTTGACTTGTCAACAAATCATAAATTCATACAAATATCACACTGAACTGAATGGATTGGCTAATGTACTGA